AGTATATTTAATGTATTATATTTATGTTGTTTATATTCCTTATATTTATATTTATTAATATTTATTCTTATAAATAGATATATATACTAATAATATATATATTATATATATTATTAATATATAAATAACGTTTAAGTTATTAAAGATAATGCAAATATAAAACTGTAACATAATAAGTATATTCTTACACTTGTTAGTATATTTAATGCATTATATTTATGTTGTTTATATTCCTTATATTTATATACTCTTATAAATATATATATCTAATATATATCTAATTATATGTAATTGGATCATTATTTAATCATCTAATAATAATTGCAAGAAAGAATAAACGCGTGCTAAGAGACATTTTTCTTCGTACATGCGCGCTCTGATTTATTCTATGCTAACGTGCTCCATTTTTCTCTACAAGAGATAATTTAGCAAACACTTAATATTTGCATTTCCACGCGAGATGAAAGTATCGACGAAACTTCAAAACTCTAAGAACTACATGTACAAGCTGACTGTAGCTTTTCCGGCACAACTTTGTCAAGAAATTCTATGACTGAAAAACGAGAGAAAAATATTGTACAAATATATGCTGAAAAATTCTTCGTTCGAAAATTCGAAATAACGTTACCCACGTTAGTTCCACTTGTCCATTTTTATGAATACAAACTCGACATCTATGAAAACTTGAATTTATTACATATCGAATTTCTCGTTGACTTGCTTGTAAATTGTTTGCACTAATTTCTCACGCGTATAAATTTTTGTGTGGTAAATCTTTTGTTTGAACATGTGCACAAGTAGAAATCCAACCCAAGAGTTGGTCTTCCTCGACCTTATATTAATAAATATAAATTTATATATATATATCTATCTTTGTGAATAACGCTGATTCAGCCATTGCACTTATACTTATGCATAGTGTCCAGAACAACCAGTCTGACTGTATCCGTAAATTTCGTCTACGTAAACATAAAATCTCTTGGCTCCAGTTCATTGTGTAGAAAGCTCAACCTCAATTACCAAGGCACATCTTACAGATTAGATGATGTTTCATCCAAGCGAAAGCTTATTATGCTGTTATTTTGAATTTTTAAAGAGTAGCATGTGTTTCTTTTTTTTTTTTTTTTCTTTTCTTTTCATTTTCACAGAATCTACAGAAAAGTAGGGGACACGATAAAACACAACGCCACCGTTACCTTAGTGAAATAAAAAGATAAAAGCACATGTCGTTATAAAAGATTGAACGAAAAACTCGCTTCTCTATTCGTTTGCACTTACCTGGATGAGAGCTCTATGGAGAAGAACACGTATTCCCCGGAATCGACCATACCGAGCTGTTCGGCGGCTAAAAGAATTTCCCTGATGGTTGTCGAATTGGCACACATCACTACGACTGAAACGGAGAAAAACCTGTTTACTTTTCCATCGTTTTTACCGTCCTATTTACGCGACGAGACTCCCTGCCAGTTTCAACCGTTGTATCCCCCGCATCGAAACGACAACAGCGTTTGCTCGCGAACAAAATTTGCTGGGAATTTCTAGCCACCCTCTTGGGAGTCTGCACACGATCAACAATATGTCAACGTACTTATTTCTTCCCCCCGACGAGTAACTGTCTGCATAAATCTTATCACTTTCGTGAAAAATAAATTGTGTCATATTTGTGTTAACACAGGATCGTCGAGAATTGTTTCGAAATCCCCAAAAGGTCGACCACTATTGTTCTATATACTCGTTAAACAAGTGTAAATATTTTGCAATATTTCGCAAAGGAGAAAAATTTAAAAAAATATATATTTACGTTACAAACTCTCAAATAGTTTCGTTGGATTTAATTACCAAAAATTTAGGATATTCGTAGTTTACATTATGTATGACAGAGGTCAACGATGAAATTTAATTGTGAAATAAAAAAAAAAAAAAAAAAGATTCAATCAAACCAGTTTAATAATCTCGGTTTCACACTGAAGCGCGCAAGTTAAAATCGATCGGGCTGAAACTAATTCGTCGCGGTTGACCTTCTTCACGCAAGTTTCTGATTAACGACTCCGGTAACTCGATTAGCAAGATAATGAGCGTAGAAATTCGGAACAGTGTTTCAAGTGAAACAAACGGCAGCCGGGTGGACAAGGGAGGGTTGAACTACTCGGATAAATCTGAACGAGGCCCGAGGGGAGTGATGGAGGACCTCACAACTTACTTCTAGCGGACTTCGCGAGAAAAGTGAGCAACTGTCGATAGTCTTCGACGGTGGTCGATTCCTGGTTGAAGCTTTTGTGAACCGGCGTCTGATTCAGACTGGTGAAAACAGCGCTCAGAGTGAAGTGACACTCGGAGTTGCCGCGGCTGCTCGTCATCGCGTGATTGTGATAAAGAAGCCCGGCGATCTTCCATCCGAATCGTTTCAAGATATGTTTGAGCGCCTCGCCTACCAGTCGGTGAGAGCCCATCATTCTGGTCAACGTTGGATAGTGTTCGCCCTTGTAACGAAACGCGTCCGCCTGAGCACCCACGGTTAACACCGGTATACCCCATACGCCCGCGTATCGTGCCACTGGCGCGATCACGTAGTCGCAGATCGGGCCGAAGAAGGCATCTGTATTCACAAACGTCCAACAGTTCAGAAAACCCGCCCAGCCCTTTCTACGATTCGCTTCTCCTAATCTGGCACTTAGATCTAACTTTGTGTAATATAATTAAAATTGACATTATTGTGCAATTAAATGTGACACGATTGTATTAAATTGAAAGGAAACCTACCCTGCCTTCTCTACTGTCTATAATTAATTGTACAATTAAAAATTGATGACATTTTTGTGCAATTAAAAGCGACACAATTGTATTAAATTGAAAGAAAACCGACCTTGTCCTCTCTAATTTCTATAATTAATTATATAATTAAAAATGACACAATTGTATTAAATTAAAAGAAAACCCACCCTGCCCACTCCACTCTCTATAATTGTACAATTAAAATGATACAATCGTATTAAATTAAAAGAAAATCCACTCTGCCCTCTCTACTTTCTATAATTAATTATATAATTAAAAATGACACAATTGTATTAAATTGAAAGAAAACCCACCCTGCCCTCTCTACTATCTATTAATTAATTATACAATTAAAAGTGACATTATTGTACAATTAAAAATGACAATTGTATTAAATTAAAAGAAAACCCACCCTGCCCTCTCTACTTTCTATAATTAATTGTACAATTAAAAATGGCATTATTTCACAATTAAAAATGACACAATTGTATTAAATTAAAAGAAAACCCACCCTGCCCTCTCTACTTTCTATAATTAATTATATAATTAAAAATTACATTATTGTGCAATTAAAAATGACAATTATATTAAATTAAAAGAAAACCCACCCTGCCCTCTTTACTGTCTATAATTAATTGTACAATTAAAAGTGACATTATTGTACAATTAAAAATGACAATTGTATTAAATTAAAAGAAAATCCACCCTACCCTCACTACTGTTTATAATTAATTGTACAATTAAAAATGGCATTATTTCACAATTAAAAATCACACAATTGTATTAAACTAAAAGAAAACCCACTCTGCCCTCTCTACTTTCTATAATTAATTATATAATTAAAAATTACATTATTGTGCAATTAAAAATGACAATTATATTAAATTAAAAGAAAACCCACCCTGCCCTCACTACTGTTTATAATTAATTGTACAATTAAACATGACATTTGTATTAAATTAAAAAAAAAACCATCCTGCCCTCTCTACTGTCTATAATTAATTGTACAATTAAAAATGGCATTATTTCACAATTAAAAATGACACAATTGTATTAAATTAAAAAAAAACCCACTCTGCCCTCTCTACTTTCTATAATTAATTATATAATTAAAAGTTGTATCTATCTTTTTTATACATACAAGCTGTTAAAATGCAAGTAAGACAGGCAATATTTGTAAGTGAATTTTAACATCAAGACGACAAAGAAATTCGCTCATTTACAAGTGCATTTTCTAATTTATAATTTAATTTTAGTCCAAAAGCAACGTTGATAATTGTCACGGTTCAACGAATCAACTGACGAGCCATTCTTCCTGCAATATTTTATTTACATTTTACATTTCTTTCTCTTCTCTCTGCTGTATTTGATACAACGTTTGTCTCATTTGCCTCAGTGAGAGAAATATAAATCAGACGAAAAGAAAACACAGATTGATCAATTGATTCATTAATGTTCTGAATGATTTTTCGTAAATTACAAAAATTTTCGCACCTATTCTCTGAGCTTTGATTTCTTTGACGCGTCAGTCGTTAGTAGTTGATGTTAATCAATGCACCTCATTTTACACAAAAAGTCACTGTGTAAAACAAGGTGATTAATTTTATTCGACAAGGTGATTAATTTTGTTTACACGTTAGTGGTGAAACGATACAATAAAGAACTAAACTAAACTTTGTTATGGTAAAACACAGCCGAAAATGCGTGTTAATTAACGTAATTCATACAAAGCAATAACACAATAGATGCTTCGAGCAATAATGAATAAAATGCTGGCTTTTCCACTTTTTTTTTCACTTCTCTGTGTATGAATTATATTTTCGCATTACGCAACTTCTTTTTCACCATGTGTGAAACGAGATCTACGCGTATTTATTATTTCTATCGCCTATAACTTGAAAAACAAAGCTGGAACAATATCGAGCATGGACGTGAACGTGAACGTTTTTTTACGATTTTGACGTCTAGATTCTCGTTTCGTAAATATCGCACACTTTTATCTCTCTCTCCCTCTATATATATATTTGCGAGTAGAGTAGATAGTCTGAACAGCAGTTTCGTATGGCGCAAGATAACGGCCGCGTCGTCGAGAATTAAAAACATTCTCCTCACGCGGACAGCTTAAACCAGCGATTTAATTTCATCAGTAAGTTTCTCTTTACTGTATCATCCACCTTTTTCTTCCACTTCCTCTTTCTCCCATGTGCTTATTTATATGGACAGGCTGTCCTCGAGTTATGATATAATGGGTAGTACCATTCGAAAGAGAGTGAAGTCGCAGGAGGAGGTAAAGCTCGCGAAAATGGAATTAACCTACGAAAAAAAATATAATTCTTTTTAAATTTGTCTGACATCTCCCACGAATACGAATTTTCGTTCCTGATTGGCTAGTTGGGGGCCAATATCGATGGATTTTCACCTACTCGAAACTATGTCGAGTCTTCCGGCGAATAAGGACAGCTTCAAGAAGGAGACATCGCATGCAACGAATATTGGTGCAATTTCAAAAGAGAAAATATCGTCTGGAAAAATATCGAGATGATAACGTTAATACATTAACGCTAGAAAAAAAAATCGGGAATCGTTTCTAACAATTTTTATATTAATACGATAAATTCTCGAGCAACAAGTATCCTCTCGTTTCGTCGTTCATCATTTATATACACACGTACCGTTCATCGCAGTGATAGTCTGTCAAGCGTAGATGAGCTCGCGCGTAAGTGCGCACACATACTCGATGATGAAGAATAACATTCATTTATATGAAGCACTGTGCAAAAAATAAATATTGCTCTACATTTTCGTTTTGCTTCTACTTTGTGCAGGTCCACTCCCATTCGGATTGTACCACCAGTTGGATGGAAAAAACATTCTACGCGTTTATTTCTATCTACATTAATATTTTTTTTCTTTTTTTTTTTTTACCTCTCTCCAAAGGGAAACGGTAATTTTCTCAATTTCACGATCTTGCAATATCATTTGCAATTTACGAAGGAACTTCTTGTCGACGGAAATTTATAGAACGACACCTTCAACAGAGAGAGATCGAACGGTTTCCTGCAGTTTCACGATTCGAGTCGAGACGCCGTGAAAGCATGTTAACGTAGAATGCATATAAAAGGATCGGGCAACAGAGTGGGCTGGGAGGGTAGCAGAAATAGTCGAAGGATGGTTCACCATCTACTAAGTAAACGAGAAAAGATTAATGCCACGGGGAAATTGTGGATTTCGTAGTCAGCCGAGCAGACGATGGTCGCGAGACGGTTTGCATACACAACGTAGATCCAATTTGTTATAAATTCTAGTCTTGACTGACTATTTTATATCGTGCAGAAATTACAGGGAGAGAGAAAGAGAGAGAAATTGTTGGAGTAAACAACTGTCATCTTAACAAACAATTATCGTTTTAAGTAGCTGAACGCTCGATTCTTTTTGACTTTTGGATGTAATTCGATTTCAGTTATCATCGTGACAATTACATGTAATGAAATATTGATAACAAAATTGGCAAGATGATACGCGAGGAAATCTTATACTTTTACACCGTACGTTTAAATTACGATTTACGATTTACAGCCTTTAAACAACTTCGTTCTTTCTCGCATTCGCAAAATGAACAAAAATTTATTACTTTCACGCGAGACTCTCCGAAATTATTCCCCGGAACTTCGTCGGTCTTCCTTTTTTTTTTAAAAAAAAAAGCTACGCTGCAGAAGGACGAAGACAATTCAAAAATTTCCCGGGGAGGGAAAAAAAAAGGTTCTGAAAAAAAAAAAAGAAAATCGCCGTCCGCGGTTTATTTGCGCGGCGAAAAGGGGAAAAAGACACGCACGATGGTCGAACAGCGAGTAAGTTTCAGCAAGTATCCGCCGTGTATCGGTGTAATGAGAAAATTTACGTGACTACGTGCTACGCGACGTAACACGGTGACCGGCTACAGAGAGGAAAAAACTCGGTTTTCCTCTCTGGCCAGCATTTTCTCTCGTTGGCCGATCGATAGGACCCGGCGAAACGAATCGTTTCAACTTCGATACGGAAATTCGAATGCAGGCCAGTCTGCCAGCTGTTCGAGAACGCGGAGCGTGAATTATGCTGGGACGCGTGTTTGCTGCGAAAAGAATCGTCGCTGATGATTACCGCGTGTTCAATCGGGATCGCTTTACTGCTGCTCGTCACGTAAACACAGCCGCCTAACACAATCGCCGCGTGGTACGATAAAAAGCAAATAGGCTCGAACCTCTCAACGCCAATTTAAGGTGTTGAATAGTTCGTTCCGAGTTTGCTCTTTCTTCGACTTTCATTTTTACTTCAAATACGCGCTGCAACTTAATAAATAATTAATAAACAAATCAAGAAACAACGACATAGAAACATAATGAGAAAAGACAGTACCAAGAATCATTGATAATATATATCTTTTAGTTCTGCAAACTGCCGAATGTTTGAGACGATATGCACCAAAGATTTTTCACCTGAAGCACTGTACATTGACGTGTAAGAATTAAAATTTCTTTTTAAAGGAGTTACATGTAATTGTACAGACTTTGGTATCATTTTCCGCGTCCGACTGGCTTTTCCTTTAGATCCTCTAACGTGCGAAAGTTTCAAACACTACAAATAATCGAGCTGTTTATGAGTACGTAAAAAAACTTAGGATTCGAAGGCAGGTTTCACGTGTTCTATCAAAAAGTAAGTAAATATATCAATGTATTGCTTGCACAAAATGAAAATATTGCTTCCATACATTTCATTTAAACATTTTTACGAACAATGAAACGAAACGAAACTTAAATATTGAATCTGACTCGAATTCGCAAGTACATATTGGATCCGTTCCCGTCTCTAACGATCAAACAGAAGGCTGAAACCGATTTCAGTTCGCTTTCGTAAAGGGTTAATTTAAAATTAACCCTTTGTAATCGTATACTTCGTTCTCAGATGCCAAAGCTCTTTTACCGTGGTACCAAAGCAAACAGATTGTACATCACAGTGACAAGGAAAATCTGCCAACCTGGGAGCTCAGAAATTATGAAAGGAGGCTGTGTAGAACGCGTATGAATGTAGTATGTTCGTGTTAACGAACGCGATAATTTGTCTGACCATTTTCTCTGACCTGATGAAAAACACGTCTTTGGAACAGAAGGTGGAATCGCGGTGACATGCAACTACAAACTTCGGAGAGACTTTTCATTCGATAGGAAGCAGAGAACAAAAAATTGAAATCTCGAAATTCCTCGACATTAACACGATTTCGAGTTCTCGAGAGTGTTGTGACGATGTGATTTTAGTTTTGTTCGACTAAGAATACGGCAACTGCATTCGCGTTTATATCTGAGACTCGCTCGAAGAAAAAAAAGAAAAAAGAAACGAAGAACTCGTGTTTAGTAAAGCTAACGTTCTAATGAAAGATTCTTAAAGATTTACAAATGAAAAGAAAAGAAGGAACATCGAGAAAAAATAGTACACAACAGAAATGCCAAAATTACGAAATTCTTCTGGTTCAGTGAACATTCTCGAACACTATGGCACATGGCTGAGAAAAAGGGAGGTGTCAAAATGGGAATGCTAAGACGTTTGATTAAATGACACGACTTCGGTCGTCAATGAGTATGATATACGAATATGACGTCAATGGAGGATGCTCGGTCCCTTTCCGTTCCTGCGGTTCACCACGAGTCTAAGCGTCGACGACGAAACAAACTGTGATTAACGCTAAATGATCGTTCCAGCGGACGCGCGAATCGATTTCCGGCGGCAACGCGAATCGAGTGATCATTGTCATACGATAACACACACGCTCCACGATAAAACGGTCGGCGATTGTACGAGAGAAAAAAAGAAAAGAAGAAAACGCGCGAGCGCGTAAACAATTCTAATTTTAAAACTCGCGATAAGCGAAGACCGGCCGGTGAGTCGAGTGGAGCAAAGATCGGCATTTATTTGTGAAATTCGGCTCGAGTGTCAAGTCTTTGTAAAGAAAAGGATTGAACAGAATAGGGCAGAGCTACGGATTAACGTAGAAAGAAACGAAAGAAATTGGGTGGATCAGCTTGTTTGTGACATTCGTTCGTTCAAACAAATAGAAAGGAAGATCGAGTTAGTTGAGCGGTGCAAAGAAACGAAGGAGAGAATCGTCACAGCCACGAGTGCAATATCGTCGTGCAAAGCGACGCCGGCCACTTCGTTCCTTCACCTCGAATTTGAGTAAAAGAAAGATCGAGCAAAATGGAATGGATCGAATGAAAGAAATAAATTGGAAATAGATTGGACAGTAGATTGAAAGAAGAATGAAGAAAAGAAAAAAAAATCCATCAACCGGATGACACGATGGGCGGAGGACAAAAAAAAAACAAAAAAGAAGATCAGAAAAACGAACGACCTGCGGTCCGATTGATGTAAAACTCGAACGCAGCCAACGGTCCGTATGTGCTGGAGCATTGGGAGTTACGGTGATCAACCGTGATGTTCCATCCTGGTAGAAGTCCCTTGGCAGAACTGACTGCCTTCACCGCGAGTAGAACGGCCGGTAATATCCTCGGCAAGCTCTGCTCGTGTCGGGAGTCAGCCGGCGCTATCACTGCCAATTTCACTTCCCTTTCGAACTGTGGCCGCGTCTCGTGGCACTCGCTAGTCACCGATTGAACGGTTTCGGTCGTGTTCGCGTTTGCGCTCGCATAAATCATCGTCAAGAACAAGGTCAGCCTCATCGATAGGACGCTTCCGCGTCTTTGCATTTCGTTTCCGCTTTGATCCGTCCGCTCATTGACATCGGAATCCGATCCGATACTCTTTCAGTTTCATCGCCCCTCCGCGCGCAGCGGATAAAACCCTAAACGGTTTAATCTCGTCGATCGACCGTTTCGCATTTTCATCTCGTTTCTATTTGGCTTCTGGTATACTTCCCAGGAGTACAAAGGCCTGTGGCCACCGTGGGTGGCAATTTCGCGACGATATGATCATCGAATCGATGGTGATCGACGTGTCGCGTCGAACTGAAACAAAGCCTTTCTTTTCGTACGGATCGCAACCCCTATTCGGTACAATGTAACAACTGCGCGATTGTTCATTTGTATGATTGAAGTTCAACGAATTTCGTCGCTGGAGTTATTTTATCATTAATCGATAATGTATAGTAGAAACGTTCATGGGCGAGGCTTTAACCAATGACTGGCAATGATTGCCACTTTTCTGGTAATTTGGAAAACACGTGTGATTAACGATAGGTGCGCAATCCGTAACATCACGTTTTGCAAATTTCCAAACATATCTGTTTGTGTGATAAACTGATCACCACGTCGGTTGCGGATCAATCTCGGAACTTGTAACGCTGTAATTGCAACAAGTTGTAAGAAATAAGTAAAACCGGCTTTTCAAAAATAATAATTCCGTTTCTTTCTTTCTCTATCTCCGTTTCCTTCCCTCTCGAATAAGCGTCGACGCGTCGACGGAACCGGAAGAACGGCCGCGTGTTATTTCAAACGAGGGGAGAGAGCTTCGCGGGCGAAACGAGCGAGCCTCAGACCGCGCGAACGGAACTGAGAAGCCAATCTTCGAAGCCTTCCCGTTCAACTCTGAATCGTGCCACCACCGATGCCGGACGGTCGTTCTCTTCCTTTTACTCTTTCTCTGCCCGCTCCTTCCGTCCTTCTCGGCCGCTTCTCCTCGCCCCTCTAGCCCCAGGGATAGATACCTTGCTGCGCCGATCGCGAAGATAGGGAGCAGAACAGCAGAAACGCATGCGTCCGAACTTTGCACATCCTCCGCCTTCTATCAATTGTCATCTCCCACCCCTTCGCTGGTACACGCTCTCTTGCTCTCTCATCTACATAGCACTGTTGTTTTATATCTTTTTATGGACATTAATGATTCTTTTCTTTTCCTTTTCTCTTTCTTTTTTTTATTTTTTTTACTTTTTTTTTATCTCAATCTGAAAATTTGTACGGTGGTTCGGTGGAAAGTATCTTAGCATTTACTAGATAGTTTTTAAGTTTACTAAATTGGTAAATAGATTTTAAAATATATGTTTTGTACACACGTAAGTAGATTCCATTCGTTGCTTCTTTTTTTTTTTTTTTTTTTTCCTCCCCCAAAATCTGAGCTCGCAAATCTTAAATCAATGAAATTATTTGATTTAAAGTGTTGATGAAGAACCGATTCCTCGAATAGGACAAATTCTCTAAACGATTTAACTAATCGTTGATAAGGTATTAATAAATATTTAGAGAAGTAAATATAAGGAGACAATTTGACTTATCGACGAACGAGGAACAACGACAATTCAATTATCGACAAAAGGTACGCTTCTTATCGACGTGAGAATTCGTCGATTCATCCCGCGTCGTTCAAACGTGAAATCACAAATTCGTATATCACTCTAGATTTAATTGGCTAACAAACAATACTTTAACAGCAGGTTTAATATATTAGTAGCCTTGTAATACTTAAATGGATATCAAACGCGTGCACAGTTTTTTTTTTTTTTACATTATTTGTTGAGAAGTATAGTTTAAATATAGACATTGTGACGCGTCTTTCGTGTATCGTACTATAGCAGAGCAATAATAGAAATGCTTTGGTGATAACGTGTTGTGATAACGCACAGGAAACAATGCGATAACAGTGACTTCGGTTAATTGATACGGGCAATTAGATCAACGATCGCACTCCTGTTTTTCTCGGTCCTCGATCAACCGTGAAAAGTCAATAGAGAAAAAATATGAAAAATCGAGCGAGAGCAATCACGAACGGAGAAAAACAATGTTCATTTTGAGATAAAAGTTAAGTATGTACATGATTGTTGAAGCGTTTTACCATATCATACAGGTGATGACCGTGTGTACATTCATTTGCACATAGCTCTTTCGTTCCCAAAATTCCCTCGTTGTCGTGCCGTCCCCTTTTTAACAATGTCTACTCGTCGATGCAAGATGATCGAACATGATAACGGATAGTATGCTCAAAGTCGAAGCATACTTGAGATAAAATGTGCATGCCGAATTATGTTTTATCCACTCGCGTGTATACGCGAAAACGTCTCCTCTCGTTGCATCTGTTTTCTCTGTACGATTTCATTACTCGCGCCGAGGAGAGAGCCAGGCAGAAATATTTCTCGCAATGATTGGTGGTTCCGCAATCATTCGCGTAAACGTTTATAACGTTGATCAGTGATTCGCGAGGCACGTCAAAAAAAAAAAAAAAAAAAAAAATGTACGCCAGCTTATAGTTAGAAGCGACGGTTAGTCTTGGCGGGGCTCGTCAATCGATAGAAAGCGGATATTGAAAATGTCTGGGAAACTTACCACCGTACCAATCACCCACGTGGTTCTGCAACACTTCCGCGTAATCTATGGAGACGGTGGTTTCGACATCGAACGTGCCGAACGTAAAGTTTCGTTTCTTGATAAACTCTACCATGGATTTCATCATTAACTGACAAGTGTGTCTGCCGGCAACCTGACTCTGCCCGTTCGTTGCGTACACCAGATGTACCCTCCGCCACTCGTATCTGCGTTAATTTAACACAACTAGTTAGAATAGAAATTGCTCAAGCTGAAGTCAAAGTTAAGAATCGCTTTTGAAGTGATTCCATGGTTGATTGATTCTCTTCTCATTTACCGGTTCATTAGAGCTACGAAGAAATTGGCGAGATCCCTGAAGGCCACGTTTCCGATCCGCGTCGTCATAAAGTACTCGTCCTTGCACTCGGTCTTCTTCTCCGTGAAATCGAAGGTGAACCCACCGGTGGTAATCAACGGCGCGCCGAAGAATTTCACCACTCGGCCGACAGCCGCTGAAATTAAACATCAACCTTGAACGAAACCCGAACGTGGACTTGTAAAACTGCTAATAGACAGACAACCCTACGCTACTTACCTACGCAATAATCGCAGGCAGGTCCGAGAAACAGATGAACGCAATTCGAGAAGCTATCGATCGCGCCGATCTGGGCGTACGTCGCGTCGCAATGATCGTCCTGCGAAAGAAACTTTAGTTTCAACCAGTGGGGTAGAAGTCCTCGCGATCTGGCTTCGAAGATAGCCAAATCTGTGAATATAACCGGCAAATGAGCAAAAGACTGTTCTCGAGGCTGTTCCAACAACATTTGCAATAATTGCGTTTCAAAATAATTCGTTCTCTCGCACTTTTGCTGCTTCGTACCCGCGCGAAAAGCGACAACGATCTTGGAAACGATGGGGGGGGGGGGAGAGAACTTACCGAGAACTGGGAGAACTTTCGGCAACGCGATGTCGAACATAGGATCCGCCGGCAGAAGAACCGCTACCCTCAGCTCGCAAGAGAACGTACCGTTGCGACTTCTCTTGCAAAGGGCCTCGCAATCGTGGGCCAGTTGCACCTCACGGCAGGTCACTTTCCCATTCACCGGACACCAGCCAATTAGCCAGGTGATCGTCAATGCAACGATCCAATTGGTATCCATCTATGTGACACGTACGATTCTTCTCGCTGCCTTTCCCCGTCGCGTTGCACGTTTTTTTTTTCTCACTCTCTCTCTCTCTTCAAACGAGATCGGCGTACCGCTTCAAACGTTTCGACAACGATGAACCCTTGTTCGCTACTACTGTCTCGCGAATGTCACGACCAACGATCCCTGTCTTGCTTGAGTTCATCCTTTTCCTTATAAGTCTTCGTTTCTCCCCCTAGTTCCTTCTTTCGATCGTCGTGCTGTCTCAATCAGAATGAACCAGCGCCGGACAACTCGATACATCGATGGATCGACGCTCCAACTGCAAATGATCCACTGACGCGATCTATGCTCCCAGTTCCTTCCAATCTATGCGCCCAGTTCCTTTCCTACCATAAGATTCCTGCAAACGGTACGTTTCCAATCCGAGTTTCCAGTTTCATCGATCGTTGGAAGTGGATCACGCCGCTATCACGACCACGATGTTTCACCCCTCTTGTGAAACGGATCCCACGAGATCAATCGGTGGGATTGGCACGAACGAAAGGAACAGACAAGCTCCCGGGAACGAAAAGAGTACTACTGACACTCTGCCTGATGATCTTGAACCGCATTAGCCAGTCGCAAACACCCAAGTATACCTCTCGTTCGCTCGTGTCGCGTTATCGCTGATTTTCTATCGCGTCGATTGATAATAGCTATCGAAAGCTTCGCTCACCTCCTCTCGCATTTTCTTCCACAGTTTTTGATTAATAATCTAATGTCATTCCGCACGCCGACGTACACATGTTCCCTTTGTTTTTGTTGCTGATAGCATGTTGGGATACCGTGAAATCTTCCCCCAACACCAGAAATTCTATCGCCATACTCTTTCTGTACCGTGACATGGAGAACAATTCACCGTCTTGATAGTATCCATTTAGACAATTGTGCCTCAACAATGTTATTTCGATGTAAAACCAATTGAGTCGTATTGTTCTTCGAATATTTTTCATCTGCCTTTCGCAAGATACTGCAAAGTGAAAGTAGAATAAACTCGCGCTGAAAGAATTTTAAAACTATTGTTTTTTCTCATTCGTAATCTTTTTCTTTTCTACAATAACGATTGCAAGAACAATGAATGTATTAAAAGAAAGAAAACAATACCTTGGTCGGAGTGTACTGACATACGAATTACGTTGAAACAATTCAATTTTTGGTAGATATTGCTATTCTGCAACTAGATTAGTCGTTAGTAGCCAATTTTGTATTTCAAACTTTTAAAGTGCAGTTTCTATGAACATAACGTACGTTGCGATCTTTTCGAATAGTTGTAGGACAATGTAGAAAGTTACACGTGACAATTATTAGTGCGTTTTATCGTTACTATCGTTTTGAAACAATATTCTCGTTAAGAATATTTCGCAATTTAATCTGCCTTTGATAACAGATGAAAACATGCATTCCGAAATTTTCGATTCAAAAGACTGCATGTAGTTTCGTCTCACTTGAGTTAGTTAGTTCATGGATACATTTTGGCGCGAAAGAGCATATCTCCTGTTACGTATCTACGGTTTTCGGTTACGTTTGCCTAAAATTTTGTCTCGTTATTAAGCATGAGTGAAATCAACTTTCAGAAATTTTACGACACCAAAATAGTCGTAAAAGTGGAAGAACAGAACGCAGATAGCGAGAAAAAAATATCAAAAACATGGGCGAAAGAACATGAAAAAATGCCATTCAGTATTTTGGGGCCACGCGAATTTCGTATGAAGTTTGACAAACAAGTGGATGCACTTAATACAGCTTCGAAAGAGAGTAACGATTATGATATGCTTTGCACTTTCGTTTATCAGGTAGACAATGGTTATCGCAAATTCATAGTAATTGATCCTGAAACCTATTGGCAGTATTATAAGCATTTACCGCCAGAAAGAAGATGTTCTTACGAGGTACGTTTTCGGTATTATTTTATTGTGTTCGTAGATGTTTCAGAGATACGTATGCGAGGTAACAAATTCATATTTATTCATAGGTAATTCCAGAAAATCATCCTTGTCGATTATATCTGGATTTAGAGTATTCAATCGAACTCAACCTGGGGCATAATGGGTCGTCTATGACAAATACTTTAATCGACATTTTCTGTATGTACCTACTCATGCACTGGCACGTGATATGCAATAGATACAACGTAATTAATTTAGATTCAAGTACTAGCGAAAAATTTAGTAGACACATTATATTTAATATCAGAGACGTAGCCTTCAAAGATAATTATCATGCTGGTAGACTAGTGAAATCCGTGTGCACGGACATTTTGAATTATGTTACATGCAAGGAACAACAACACGATATTTTAAGTTGCTTTGACAAAACACAGCTAGAACAACTGTTTGTTGAAACAAAGAAAGGAAAAAGACTGTTCGTTGATACTGCAGTTTATTCAAAGAATAGACACTTTAGGATATATAAATCCACTAAATGGGGAAAACAATCAAATCTAGAGATCTCAGATGACTCTAAATATATTCCATCCAGTGTGTACAATGACAAAGAGTTAAGCATATTTCTAGATTCTTTGATATCATATTTTGTTACAAGGAAGAACTTGATTTTATTAGAGTATTCTGAAAATTGTACAATAAATACAAATTGTTTCAAGGATACAGTACAACGATACAATTATCAGGAAAGTGATAGTCCATGTTCAAAATATCCAATGTTGGATAAATATATTAGCAATTTAATATCTCCTGGAAAAATACGCACATGCAAACATTTTGAGACTGCAGAAATATTGGTCTACGAAACTGTGGGATACAGGTATTTATAATTCATTATATAAGATTATTATTTATTTTTTTAAAGTATATTGGCACTTAGAGATATTAAATCTGATTAGCTGTGGGTATTCTTACTCATATTTATAAACACATCATAATTTTGTGTAATTCTAAGTCATGCATGCAACAATAAAGTAAAGAGCAAAATAACAGTAATTTAATCAGTAATGTAATTTAGTAACTTACAAAGTGTTGAAAATATCATCTTTGATGTTGCAAACAAATTCTTACTCAACGATTTAAATTACCTTGGTAGGTATTATCGTTTTCTTTGTTATTTTTATATACATTTTTATATTTTTATATCATCATAAAAATAGCTCGTGTTAAAAATAACCGAAATTGTCATTACCTAATTAAATAAGAATTTAGACACATTAATTATTATCCAAGTTTATAGGTATCAAGAGTGATATTTTCTGCATTTTGTAAATCATTCGTGTAAATAAATTATTAAAACTTATTTCATTATGTAAAATAGTCTTGAGTAACATTGATAATAATAAATAGTTATAATCCTTGATCACAATTTTAGAATTATCTTATATACAATAATAGAAAAATTAACGTATTTTAGTTTTATTTTTTTTTTTTTTTTTTCACTAATAGGTATTGTGAAAATATTGGCAAATGCCATAAAAGTAACAATGTTTTTTTTATTGTAAACTTAAAGAACAAAATAATATATCAAAAATGTCATGATCAAGACTGTTTTGGTTTTAAATCCAAATCAAAACAATTACCAGAAGAAATTTATTTTCAAATCGACGAGGAAGGTGATATGTTATTGGATAGTGCTATGACAGAACACAGTGTAGAAAAATAATCCTTCTATCAAAAATTTATTGAGGTAGATATCTGGAAGACAATATCGTTAGATAGAGATGAGTAACATAGAGATGAGAACAGGTTTTTGAACAATTTCAAATAGATAATACTTAGCTTTGTTTTCACGATATTTTCTTCTGAAATTGAAACAAAATGCATAATAACAGTTATGTGTTTTCAGGTTCTTCTTACAAGTGCCAAATAATTGTGCAATGTTATATTCAATATTGCAAATGTATATTATTAATTACATTAAAATGTATACTACATTACACAGATTATTTACAGTTTATATAAATCAATGTAAATTAATTCCATGTATATAGGCGTACATATAACAGAAAAAATTCGAACATATGTACGTATAAAAAATTAATTTTTCATATTTTATGCAGCTATTTATATTTGCACTATCCTGAGTGTACAGATACAATATGATATTTGAGCTAAATTACGTAGACATGATTAAAAAGTTCTTATAGAAATTATAATTTACTTTACAATATTATATTATATTGTAAGTGAACACTTTGATCTTTCCACATTTTTCTTTTGTACTATGTAATAAATAGTGTAAATGAAACTAATTATAAATATAATCAGTCTCGTGTTCATTACATCATAAAGAATACCATAAAAACAAAATGGGTATTTTTCAAAATTTTTCCCATTTGAGAAAAAGTGTACATTTTATGCACATTTTGGCGCATCATCAATGCAACCCCGGTGATCCAATGTATCCACTTATTCGTACCTGTATCTTTGTATCGCGATCACTACCATTCTGCTTGCACAACGTCATGTTAAAAACTTTCTATTAGTCAAAACCAGTTTCATTATTTCAAATATATTGAAATTATTGGTCAAACAAATAATTTTGTAAAAAAGAAATAACGTAATAAACCCCTGCCTTCGTCGATTGAATCTTCTGTATCTTCATCGCTCTCGTCACTTTCTTCCGTTTCTGATGTCAAGATTTCGATTTCCTCATCAAGATCATATTCTACTGCATCACTTTCACTCAGTGTTTCACTCTCTTTATTGTTTTCTACGTTATACTCGGATGCAATTTCTTCGTTCTGAGAAATATGACTAACATCAGAAATATTTTCCTTTTCCGTTGTGAGTTTATAACTTTGATAATTTTTCGACGCATGCCTCATACGAATTAAAAAGTCTGGCAATCCTAGAATTTACAAATACGGAGATAAATTGAAATTTATATAAAAAAGAGAAACTTTTGTTCTTTCCTATCTATTTATTTATTTATTTTTTTAATTTTTGAACATGAACAAGACATACCTGACATTGCGACCCACGAAGTAATCGCAGATGGAATATTTACACCAGGATCATCAAAGTAAGTTAATCCGAATTCTATGCCTGGTTGGTGGATATCTGTATAAGGCTTTATCACCATATAGGACCAATACGTTGTGACTCTGTTACGTATACACAGTTCAAATTATTTAAAAATAGTAGAAAATTCGTTAAGATTCTTCTACTACTTTTACATTTATTTTTACAATTTTAATGATCCAAATATTCTTATCGAACTAAGTGATTTCGTAATGAAATATAAAACTAAAAGATACTGATTTAGTAACTTAACGGTATTATATACATATACATATGTGTATTTATTTACGTTGTAAAAAAGAAAAATGCTTCAAAATATTCACGATACCTGTATATTCCTGGTTTGGTAGGGGCATTAGGATGTTCCGTTACTTTACTTATAATTACAATTAACCGCTTTTCTTTGTCTATGATCCACCGTCGTTGATATACATAATCCCTATTTGTAAACAATCTCTAAAGTCGGACATTATAGAATATTAAAATTTTAACAATAGGATTAAGTGATTAATATTACAAATAGCTAACTTTACGTGAGTTACCACATACCGGCCATATCGTTTCCCAATATACAACATCAATACCATTATCAGCAGATTCTTTCGATTCCGGGTCACTATCTATGATTTTTAATTCTCGAGCAGTTGGGTCCCATTTTTTCCGATAATCCAGATCTATTTGAGTTTGTAAAAAATCTTCCGCTGTAACATCCGAAAATGTACCATAAACTTTATATGCAAATAATCCTCCAGAGTTTGGTTCTTCTTTTCTCCAAATGAGCATATCTTGCCTTTCTATGTATGGTTTCCATCCTTCAGCTAAAACCAAAAACACACCAATTATCAATACATTTGTTTAGCAGTGATGTTTAGAAAAAAAAAAGATTACGTACGATCTTGATTAGAAGTAGCGCTAACTTTACCACCATTACATGTGCAATAATTTATGTCTGGTTGTTGAGTATCTATCACAATTCTTAGGTGACATTTTGGACAAATAAGCGTGATATTTTTTAGCCTGTGAATTTCTTCAATATCTCTTTTACAACTAGCAAGCATAAAAAACAAAAAAATCAATGTTAATGATACATTTTAATAGATTTGTGAGACTCTGCTTTTCTCAAATCAAAACCTTTTATAATCGCAGTTAATAAGTTAATAAAAAACAAATCAATTTTAATTAGATTGGCTAGATCTAGTCCTTGAAAATGTTAAGTTGATGGTAGGTAAATTAAATGACAAAGAAATTGAAAGAGCTGTGGCACTAAGGAGGCAGCTCCATTTTTCAATAACTTGACTCAACTCAAAAATATTCAAAATTAAATCAATTCTTCAAACACGTTATAAATTCATAGTATTATTCAACTATTATTTATATAGGTTTTGCATTCTAAATTAACCCTTTGGCAGTTATATTCATCTTTTTGTTCTATAAATTAACCTTGTTATAGATTTAGCCAGATTCATATTCATATATCAAATTCTCTTTTGCAAATTGAGTTTTCTTAAATTATTATAATATAAATAATGTAAAGTTATTATTCTGAAATAAAAATTTTATTGCATATATGTAATAATACTTACACAAAAAATACTTAATATTAAAAGTACTTTTATACACATATGTAAATTCATCAATAATAATTCACCAATGTTCGATAGTTTTATATACATTTATATAATAATTATGATAATCTGTAGTTGTAACAAATTGATTAATAATATCCACTAAATATTCATGATTTGAAGAATCAATCAAAATATTTCTTCAATGGGGTTTATCATTGGAGAGTAATAGAGAGTGACAGAAACAATAAAATGTGCTTTATCTGATCAATAAGATTTCTGAATTTTGTGGAAGCTTATATTAGTCATCTTTCAAGTAACTAATTTTTCACATACTAGACTACAACTTTCACAACTAATTACAAATTAAATCAGAAATAACAAAATGACATTGTATTACTTCACTTTTGAATCACTCACAAGATGAATTTCTAAAAAGGTAAATATGACCTGCAAAAAGGTTCAATTTGAAATGAAAATTAATTTCGAATTAGTAAACTCTTACACTTTTGAATATGCAACCTATATCTTATTGGAGTTGCCTCTTCAATTCTCAAAAAACCATTCATTTTACCTATTGAGTTCTTCTTCGCTTATTCTTTCATGGTCCCAGTTGTACATTGTTACACCGATGCTACTTATTAGAAAGTGTCTAGCATTCCTTACTGCACGATGTTTCCAACTTTTCATGAATTCCTTGAGTGCTACCTCGTCCCATATCCGTGTGTACAAATGAAATATCTGCAAGCTCCTTCTAATACGTTGCGCAGCGATGAACTCGAACTGTCTGGTACAAGCTTTGACTACCTGTCCACTCTGTTGTTTCAACCACAATGCTACCCTACTCCGGTATTCGCGGAATCTTCCACAATTCTCATGCTGACCGAAAGAAGATGCTAATCTGGTTCCACTTCGGATACAATTCGAACTCAATTGCTTCGTTAACAACCCAGAATATTGCACCACGTACATCGTTAGTCTGGTGCTTCTTGAAGAAATATTTTTTCAAACAACAGAATTCAAAGACAATAGTTATTAATCGTTTCGTATTTAACCTTCGTAAACCTTATTCTCCAACAACAAGTTATAGGTTATGTTCTGTGACAATGGAATTAGATATCAATCAAAACACATTACTTGTTATATTGATCTCAGTAAGTTTTTTTATGGTAACGTGTACATTGTATCTTAATTCACAAAATTATAAATTACTTATGAAACTTATAAAACATGTTGACGTCGTGGTACGTGCTCAATTATCTATCGTGAAATCATGTAACATTCATATAGGTATGTCGATATCTCGATTGCAAACGTATCGAATGTAAAAATATCGACTGGAAAGTAATCTGGAAATGTATCGATATATCGAGCCTTGTCGAGTACGCCGTTGCAACTTGTATATCCGTAATTTTCGTGTGTTTGTAAGAATGTACTTTTCAAAAATTAGTAAAGAGTAAGTTATTATCGAATTGGCGTCGAAACGCAGATACTCGTAGACTGCAACACATCCCAACAAACGTCAACAACAACAAAAAATCGTAAACAAGTGTAAAATTAAAAAAATAGTTAAGATCGAGTAGTTAGACCTGGTAGTAATCCATGCAATGTCGGTATAATGCCGGAGGTACGCAATAATTCGAAAGTGACGAATACACATTCCCAACCGGACAATCTACTAAATATCCCTCGAGAATTCCGTCTTCGTTGCGTATGCATTTGAAATATTTGCTGGTGCAAAATTTGCTGTATGGGAACTGACCTTCCTCCGGACATATTACATCATTCGCAGGGTGAAACTGTAAAAAACGAGAAAACTGGTAAGCAGATGACATACGTTTGTAACAGTTCATAAAAATATTTGAACGTTTGAACATTATAATAGAAAACATTTATTTCCAAATTGATTTTTGATCTGGCCAATAGTCCGATAGTGCAGACGAGTAGAAATTCATGTAAAACTTGTGGTTAAAATTATATTGGCTTTCATATTTAAAAATTATCATGTTAAAGATTATTGATCCAAAAATTGTTGCAAATCGCTCGTTTGAATTGATTTATATAAAATAATATTGCTTCACCGCGGCACGCCGATTCTTTGTTCACGTGAATACAGAATTGTAAATTCCTTCATATAAATTAATATTTTTGCAATTGCAGCGGCAAATTGCTCGTCTGCTCGTCTCTAATGGTCATATCTTCTACAGAATTAATTCGAAGAAATTAATTACTCATCATTTTTTAAGTATTCATTGTTTCGAATTTTGTAAGTATTCGAATAATTCCGCGAATGCGCACACTGCGCATGGTGTTTTCGTACGAAAGGAAAAAGAGAGAAAGTGAAAAACAGAGATGTGCTTACGATTATAATCGAATTAGGCTGTTCGTCAAATTTAAATTCCGTGCAATCGTGTGTCATGTCGACGCACAGCAATCTTTCCTGGTCAAAGATGGTGCCGTCTGGACACCCGAACATTATGACACTCCCCTGCATTTCATTGTTGATAATACACTGATAAAATAGATTGCAATATTTCGAGTGCTGGCGAAAACCGCTTGGGCAAACGATAGTGAACCTATCTTTGCTCAGATCGCCAATTGTAGAACTGTCTTCGATTCTGGGCGTTAAAAATTTCCCGAATTCTGCTATGTTATAATTCCCCAAGCGTTTGCATGTGTCTAGGTTTTGTATCTGGTCTGGGAAGTTACAAGTTACCAACTGATTATCCCAAAGTGTTCCAGAAGGGCAGGAGAACTCGTGCTTGACTAAAGTCACTCCAGTTGCCACGCATCTATAAAATTTTGAACAATCCTCAGGATCGGGGAAGAAACCTGCACTGACACAAGTTTGCTTCCCATTATCCTCGGTATCCTCGTTCTCTGCACCACTAATATAGATAAAACTATCGTGATCTTTCTCTTCATTTTTGGACGATTGTGTTTCCATCTCTCTATCATTGTCTGAATACTTTAATTCGATTCCGTATGAATCCGTAGTGTAAGTACCGTCTAAATTCGTTGAATCGTCTTCGTCGATATTATACATCGAGTCAGTGACAGTGTTTGATTTTGTAACCATTGTCGTTTTCTGTCCTAGCAGATTTCTCTTGTTGTCTCCGACGTCTGTAATACAAACGATCAAAATCCATTTTATCTCTCGCGTTTCTGGTTAAATCGATAATCGATGAAGGTTTTTTTTTTTTAAATAATTTAAAAAGGCAGATTCATTTGTAGGAAATTGTACAATTTCTAACTAGTAACTCGACAAAAATAGTGTTCATCGTTTCGATAATGATTCTTATTTAGCATCTTATTTCGTAGTAATAGTAGTAGTACATTTAATAATATAGTGTAATATAATATTAAATAGTATATCTAATATAGTATTTAATATTATAGTATAGTATGATAAGTAGCAAAATATATTATTTATCTTTCGACAGACAACTAAAATTTATAATTTAGCGTATGTACTCGTTATTAATTAACGAATTTCGAAGGTTATCGTACCTATACAGCGGCAGCAATTGCGCCGAACATTCTGGCCTGTCGCTGTTTCGTTGATACACACACTTTTTTTTTTTATTAATCGAGTATACACGGTCATCGAGACAATCAAAAGTGTTTGCAAGATGATGCACACCGAACAGGGTGTCGCATTTATAAAATCGCTTGCAGTTGTTGGGATCCGCGAAAAAGCCTGATTCCACGCATTCAAAGTTAATTTCCCCATACTTCTGAAGCACTACTACACTGTTTTTCGGCGACTTTACAATTTTAACGGACAGGTATTCACGATTGAATTATTCTGTCAAAGAACTGTCACTTCTTCTTTGGCTGTGCAAATATCGTAGAGTCTTTTAGTATGCTACGTGTAGGCAATTTTATTTATTTGCTTCTTATCTAATAGTATAAGAAAACTATAGTATTTGAATTGCAATTTTTGAGATTGACGACTGAGAACATGTATTATATAATTGCTACATGAAAATATGAATCTCTTGAGTAAAATAAAAAAAAGAATATAAATATTGCTAATTTCGATCTTCACTTACCCATTTTATCTACCCAGGATGCACTAGTTCCAATCACATACAGAACGCTAATCACATAAATGTTCGCCCACATTCTCGACGTTCGATTTTTATTAATAGTTCGATTTTAAGGGGCAGATACTATAAGAAATAAATTCTAATCGTTTGGAAATGAAAAGAAAAGCGAACAGAGGCGATATTGCTGCCGATAGATCGTTGATCATTCGACAGACGAAAGAGCAAATTCGCCTACGACACGAGACGAAGACTTTTGTAGGTTCGGCAAAGATCGTTAAAAAAAATATGATGATTAAAAATTAAAGGCTTCAGATCGATCTCGATCGACCGATAAGCCGTAATCGGACAAATTTATGTCACGTAAAAAAAAACAGAAAAAAAAAAGAAAACGAATAAATATACGAACGTATGAACGAACAAAGGAAGGACAACATGATAGATCCTTTACTACTCATTGTTTGTATTATCGTTCGTCTTGGTTATTTTACAAGGCACGTTCGAGCGGGTACATTCCGGTAGAAAATGTTTTCGTGGCAACTTTTGTTTGACAGATCCGGATACTTCGTTCTAAAGTTCCAGTGTTTTCAAACGAGCTGCAAATCGGGTGTAAAAGATACACGATTTCGAACGGCTTCCTCGAACAAGTCCAATATATCTAGTCTACGATGTTTCCTCTAATCCGCCAATCCAGTCTTGAATTTATTCGTTCAGCTTCCGACAGTTCAACATCCTTCGCGCTTCCATCTGCGAACAAAACGGGGAGAGGGGGAAAAAAAAATGATGCTTTCGATCGGTAACGCTTCCTTTTCCCTATGAAATTCTCAATTAAAAAGAATTCATACTCTAAATATTCTTTTTAGAATAATATTATTTTAAACTGGTAAACAACGAATGCTATTTGAAAAATGTCTGAAATATTAAGGGAAAATTAAGGAGATCTTAAACTAAGATGTGAATTCTTTCTTCTTTTTTTTTTTTTTTTAACTTTCACGTTAACCACTTGCGCTGGCAACTGGATTGCGGACCATAACGAGCGACCAAACCGTATAGAATAATTCGTCGCCTTCTTTCCGAACTCGTCGGTGTACTTAAATATACTTAAATATACTTAAGAACTGAGAAAATATTACAATTTTGGAACAACAAATTCTCGACGTGCGTGGCAGCGCAAGAGGACAAACATTTTCTGATCTACATTCTCGTACTCAGCGCTAAAAGAAAAAAAAAAAAAAAAGAAACCAAAAGGATCGTACCTGTATCAATTGGTAAATGGTTAGCAGTTGTTCCAAGAAGGGTCTACTCTGTGAAGCGCATTCGGTTTTAAGGGCACTCCATTCGTGCCTCTGGTTTCTTTTTCCCCAACCGGTCGAGAAGTTTAGCTGAGCTTCAGTCCCGGAGTGCAAGATCAAGCATAACAGCAATATTATCGAGAAAAAGGCCAGTCGAGCCTTACGATGCCTGCGAAACGAGACACACAGAACAAAACGAAATGGTCATTGTGCATGAATGAATTCGAAATTGAGATACATATGCAGAGAATGCATCGATCATCGTTAGATAAATGTCAGACTGTTCGTAGGTGCTCCTGTTGGAGGAGATATAGCGAGGTCATAAATTAGAGCCACAAGTCACGAAATTAAGTAAACACGGTGATTGATCTAGCCGCAGTTAGTGCCATATGCGTCCTCATCAATCTGAAGAGAACTGCGATTCGTTGCGAAAATCATTTTGATGTTCAAGCTGCAAACGTCACACTTTTTGGCAAATTGATACTTCTAACTTCTTCGTTTGTAATCTTTCGTCAAAATTGCACTTGTGTTAATCCGCCATTGCTTTCTATATTATAGTAATTCGCGCACCGGTAGAAATTAACCTACAGCTGCAATAAAAAGTTCATCCCGATCGAAAGATTCTGCTACTTTTATTCCTTGAAAAGGGGAGAGTTATTTTATAGGAAATTTGTATTATTTATTCAATCCTCGGTATAACATTCATTTAGTCTGTTAATTTCTATTCATTTAGTCTCGTTAATTTCTATTCCCAGTATTGAGAGTCTCTTCTCACGAAGAGATCTCTTAATAAAATTAATATTACTTCGCGCGCCATTATTTCTATCGCAAAAATTTTATCGCTTTTTTCGTATTTTTTAGCTAATTTCGCACAACTCTTGTCGTATATCTATATTTTGCATTAATATTGTTGGAGAGATCTAATCTCCCGCTCTATATGTTTCTTTGTCTGTATATAGTGATTATGATAATTTATATTTATATCACAATACTATGAATAAATAATAACTCCGTAGTTAATTTTAGTTGTTTATATAAAAATATTATCAATATCACAAAATATACAATTACTAATAATTTAATGAAGATTACATAATGAAAGTTAAATGACGAATAATTTCTATAAATGAAAGTTAAATAACGAAATAACGAATGAAGAATTTCTACTATGGCAACAATATATATAAGTGTCAGTAAACATTTCTATGGTGATAATAAAATTAATCGCTATTTTTAAATATTCCATTGTTTATATTAAGTACACATCTCGACGGAACATAGATGTCGTTGATCTAAATTCTTCGAAGTAGAGGTCGCTACATGTACAACTTAACTAGCGACACCTTGTACATTATGAATAAACTTGCGGTCGTTGGTCTCTCTTGTTCTTGAGTAACACGTGTAAGCGTAACACGTGATCCAGGAAACCGGTATATCGAGTAATTTCTGTCTTATCCGTCGTAATTTTCAACAGATTATGGGCCTCGTTTCGTGCGACTAACTGTTGCATTAGGCGATTATTTTTTCGAAAATAATATTCCGTAGTGAAGAAAATATATTAGTCGCAAAGTGTGTCCTAAAATCACGTGTTCAGGTGGAACGTGAAAGTACTGTAATAATACGAATAGTATGTCGATATTTAATATGACTGGCGAAAATACAATGTCAAATAATACAAGTACAGAATCAAAGCGGACAGAGACGGCAATGCTATTCGTGGAAGAGAACCATCATCTATGGCACAGAAGGTTAGGGCACCTATCTGAAGGATGCATACATGAATTAAAAAATGGAAATAGCTATGGGCTTAGATTTTACGACGCCAAAATGTGTCGAGTGCTTGAAAGGTAAGCAATGCCATGAGCCTTTCAGTAAAAGAAGTTCTTTCCACAGAGCAACGCTAAAAATTAGAAATTGTCAATTCAGACATCTGTGGGCCTATGAGCAAATATGGGCTAAAAGGAGTAAAATATACTTGCCTTCATGATTACACGCGTAAGGTATTCGGGTATTTTATTAAAACTAAAGATGAGGTACCGGTAAAATTCACAGAGTTTATGGCGATGGTAGAGCGATAATCTGATAACAAAATCATGGCTCTAAGGACCAATAACGGAAGGGAATATGTCAATCATGAGTTGAGAAGGTTTCTAAAACAAAAAGGATCTTAGAACCGTACCATACACACCAGAGCAAAATGGAATAGCCGAAAGACAGAATAGGACCATTATTGAGAAAGCTAGAAGCATATTGTGGGACGCTAAATTGGATCATAGATCCAATGGGCAGAGGCTGTAAGTATCTCTCAATTTATCTCAAAAACCAATCATCTACAAAGCTGTTAGAAATATGACACCCGAAGAGGCATGGACTGATAAGAAAGTGGATCTTTCACAGTTGAGTCTGGATGCAAGACATTGCTCCCAACAAGCAAAGGAAAAAGTTTGATCTCAAGTTAAGAATTATCTTCATGGGTTGAGGTGAAATCATACAAATTATATGATTCAGATAGGAATAAAGTAATTTGTGCACGAGATGTAGTGTTCATAGAAAATGATAAAGATAATATAAACGAAAATGATACAGGTAGAGCAGACGATTTGGAACAATTGTAAATATCATCGATGTCTGAAAGCTTCCATGAAGTACCTGATGAGAACGCAAGGATTGAACGCAATGAACTTGCTACCTTGACATGGAGATATCCAAAAAGAGTGAGAAAACACCCTATTCTTTATCCTGTGACACTTGCATGGTATGCTAAAGAACATGAAGATGAAGCAACAACCCTGCAAGAAGAAAAACTCTGAATTGTGTAAAGGGAATAGGCATTGAGTAATAATGTTGTAAGCATAGAAAATCCATATAGTGAGCGATAGATTAAGGGGGAATGTTGGGGAGATCTAATCTCCAGCTCTATATGTTTCTTTGTCTGTACAACTTAACTAGCGACACTTTGTACATTATAAATAAACTAGCGGTCGCTGGTCTCTTTGTTCTTGAGTAATTATAAGCGTAACACGTGCGTGATTCAAGAGTCCGGTATATCAAGTAATTTCTATCTCATCCGTTTGTAATTTTCAACAAATATCAATTATCGTGCAAATCGTTTATGCCGTACGCGTTAGCACGATAAACTTCAGCATTCTTATCCGATGAAATGAAATTTTGTCGATCATGTACGATACTGTTGGCAGTACAATGTCACCGGACATTAAATTATAGAAAATAATAAGTTAATACAAGGTCGATTATGTTCCTCGTCCACGCATAAACAGATCACTTACATGTCGTCAGCAGGAATCGCATCTAGAGCGAGCAACGTGATTCGAAAAGATCGTCCTCTCCTCGGTTTTCGAGCCCAAAGGATCGTGTGTCCGCGCGAGGTGAACACGTTTATGAGAGGATAACGAGACCGTGGACTTTTTTATAGGTTCTCAGCAACCCCCTTCTCGACCCCTAATGTTTAGTTTTGTCATCAGCTCGATTGAAAACTGTGAGAACGTGTCGCAACCAAGCACGATCCAAAGGTTTCTTTCTCGTTTGGCGAACGTCACTGCGAAGCCTGCCGTGAATTTCGTTAATTAACGTTAAGGTCCAGTGACTCGGGAAATTTCCGGCGTAAAAGAAGTCCATGAGCCAGTGCGATGGCTACATTCACAACAGCAGATGTTGTATGTACTTCGCGGTGATAGATTTGCAACGTGAAGAATCTTCACGCGAATTTGGGGTAGTTTGTTCCATTATTAGGGTTGGTTCGAATAATAATAATTTACTCTGCGAGGCGAATTCCAACACACAAAATTGATGTTTTAACGTAAACTTGTTCATAAACCTACAACATAAACTTGTCTACAACTGTGGCATGGATATTAAAAAGGGGCAGAGTTCAGTGAAATCTAAAATTACTTCTATATTTATTTGAACGAATTGATATTTAAAATCAAACTAAAGAATTATTTGAAAGTTATTCGTTCGATCTCGACACGAAGCAAAATTAACTTCTTCGAACTCTGTGGCTCGTTGTCGTAAACTCGACGATATCTTCCTTTGAAATCAAATTTACCCAAGCTTGATTAGCCCCAAGGTGCTATTATACATTTCGTTTTATGTGATTTATCGCACGAAAGTGAACGATAAGTACGTTATCGCCAACTGTCGCGAATGTCTCGCGTTGGCCCGAGAACTTCTCAAAACGCAAGCCATCTTCTCCAATGTCATCGTCTTTTATTATTGCTACAAAAAAAAGAACACGAAGTTACACGCATTTCCGACAACGGTAGATGGATCTCGCGAGTAGAGATGGAAGGTGTGCCTGCGATCAGCTATCACATGTCGAGTGGGTCACGCGGATCAATCATATTTGGTCGCGCGTGTCCTGAATATAATTTACAAGAAGCCTGGTCTATGCGTATACTTCTGGCTAAACCGTGTTATCCGCGACTTTTATCTTTTAACGACGTCGTTCGACGGAGTGAACGCAATAAAGTTTCGTTTCAGTTGGACAAGTTACTTGAATTCAAGCGACAATGAATTCTCGACTTGAAACCTTTGAGATATCATCTTAAGTTTCTATAACTTCGCTCATTTTCGCTTGATTTTGAATAACACGATCGATCGACAATAACGTCAATCAGTCAATGTTATTTACAATTATGGTTTTCTTTAGAACATCTATTGTCTCTCCTCTGAGAGGACTCCATTGGAAAGCATCTTTCGAGTCTTTTCAGTTGCTAACTACCTATTTTCATCTTATCTTTCGCCAAGTCGAGTCACTTGAACTCAAATACTCGAATTTAAACGTGGACGAAGCTTCAAGCACGTCTCGTCACTCTCAGAACTTGGTCGCGGATACACAAGTCGTCGTTTCTCTTTCTTTTTTTTTTTTTCTTTCTTTCTTTCACGTGTCTCTTTTCTTTAATTGTACATAAGGGCAGTGTTCGAGTACATAGCATAAGTAGCGTATCGCGAAACAAGTTCGCCTGTGATGTAGTCGATTCGCCGCGATGAAGGAGTGTCACACACGCGCCGAAATCGAGCCGAATTTCGCCGACGGAGAAGTTCTTTGTACTGCGACGGAGTGTATCGTTAAAAAGACGGCCATCTGTTTCATAGGACAGACGGGGATCGTTCGTCACCACATATTCTTCATTACTATTCCAACAATGTGTCTCGATGTTGCTCGTGTGCCCGTGCAATCGTTCGACGACAAATGTCTGAAAGGAAATTATTTGTTTCCTGGATATCGATGCGCGCGAATCGCATCCTCTGAGATCACACGCTTTCGCCTAAGCTGCACTTTTTTTTTCTTTTTTTCTTATCGTATAAATTACACGTTCACTCTTTCGAGGACGTTTCGAAGCTGATTCAGGGGGGGTGGTAAGTTTGTTAATCCTTTGCGGTCGTACGTCTGCTCTCGGCCATTGGAATATCCTTTACTTTCAGTTTCAATGCTTTCAGGATTTTTAACTCGTTAAGGACCAACCGGGTAAAACAACCGTGAACGCGACATCGTTGTAAAATCTAAATAACGTAAATAGTTATTTTGTCAGACTGAAGAAAGAAAAAAAAAAAATGTATGACGCGTTATAAGATTGTTCCAAGGTTTCCAAAAAGAATTCTACGATTGGGATCAACACAGTGACAGAAAATAGTCCGAGTTTCTTCGAATTTCATTTCAAAAACTTGTAAACGACGTTGAGCTCTTTTTTTCCCCTTGAAATCCATTTTTCATAACTGCAACACGAAATCTGTGTCTGAAATGAAAAGACGAGCGTTGCACCAGTGAAAACTCAATAAGTTTGGTCCTTAATAAGTTACCGAGACTTTAGCGCGGTTGGACATTTCCGTTTCTAAAAAATATTTGCTAAGGAATGTGTTTTAAAATGGCAGATAGGCAGTTAGTCGTGATTGCGGATATTTATACAAAATTCGTACTTTCATGAACACAGTTAAGACAGTAGTAGAAGATTCGTATTGCTAAACGTTGTAACAAGTGTACGCTACCTTATATACTTTTCTATTAATAACTTTAAACTTTTCAGAAATGTATAAAAACCCGCAATTTCATTATTCATTGGCGCTCAACGAAGATCAACCCCGACTTGTATCTAAACCGCAAAAGATTAAGAGTCCACCTGAGTCACCATCAATATACACTTGCGTATTTTTGTTACTGTTGTCGCTCCGTTTCTTGTTGTGTTACGATTACCATTATTATTATACATATGCATGTCGCATTGATGTATCGTACAAAAAGCTTACAAATTATTATCACATATATACGTGTACGTACGTGCGCGAACGCCTACACAGGTACACGAATATACATACATATATATCTATATACATATACTTAGAAATATCCGCGCGTAGAATGCGCCTTCGCAAATGGAACAAACTGAATACCGTGGGTACGCGATTATTATCGATCAGCGGGGGAAAAAAATGTCAAACAATCGCGATGGAACTGTCTGACGCCGGTAATCTCACACATTCACGTGTATTCGTGTATTCATGTACAATTGTTCGGTGAATTGATTTCAGGTTTAGATTTCGGGCGCACGATATGGCACTCGGATCTCTTTTCGCCGATTCAAGCGCACACCTACACGCGTATTGTTGTTTTCCAATGTTCTAGACTATACTACGTGCAGCGCTCACACATACGCCTGTGTACAGTACAGATTCGATATTCAGGTTTATATCTACACGTGTACTCGCGTGTATGCAAAGTTTCGCACACCCTTTACACGGCTTCTAATCGCACTCGCGCACATAACCGATTAACAAAATAGTCTATAAGTTAAAACCCCTTGCCAGTCACGGGCTTACGCAGCTTTTGCCATGATTATTTCGTAGTATGCAAGAGCTGCATTTGTACGAGTCTCGTTCATGTAGTCTTGTGAGAAAGAATATTATAAAAGCCAAGTCGGTCCGGCTGAATTCTCGCTCAACATAACATAAACCCCGTCGATGTAGTGTTTATATCTGAGCTCGAGCGTGAAAGAGAAGAAAATATTGTACAAGCATTTGATAAAGGCTTTGAAATAAATCCAAAGGCTGTAATTTGATTATCATAACACCGTGGGAGGCGTAGACAAGGCAGATCAATTTTTGAAAAATTATGAAATAATAAAACGTGGAAGAAACATTTATTTTTCATTTTTTACAAGTAAGAAAGACTCATTTACCAGTTGAATCCCCCCCCCCTTTTTTTTACATTAGAATAACATAAATAACCAATTTATGAAAAAAAAAAAAAAAAACAGGTAGTCATTTTTTTGGACCGATTTCGACAAATTTGCGGGACTGGTAAGGAGTTGAATGTAAAGGAGCGTTGCGACGCTCCGACGCTGCCTTTGTTCCATCATTTCTTCTTTTTTTCTTTTTTTTTTTTTCTCTCTTTTATTTTCTTCTATCGCTACACCTTCGCAGTTTCATTCTCTCTCTCTCTCTCTTTCACACACACATTCTCTCTACATTCTACATATCTCCATACCCACGACATTCTCGCGAACGTAGGCATATAGATACATACACACATATACATTTATATTCGTCTCTATATAATATACGTATAAAAAAATAAGTCCAGTCCTTGTAACTCGAATGATTGCCAAAAAAGAATTCACCAACGATTCCATCTGCGTCCTCGTTCGAAGAGGTCGATCTCTTCCTCGCGGTCTCTTCGCGCTGCAAATCATTCTCTTCGGGTTACCAGTGGAATCCACGCACGGAATTAAATCGTTCTCGCGATGAACGAGCAGCGCGTGTCCATTTTCGCGATACTAGTACAGCCGAGTACCCTTTGTCGTCCTCAGCCGATGCGTCGATTTGTCGCGTCTTTCCTCTGTTTTCGTACGCTCGCGTCAGTAGGAAAGAGTACTACTCGTACTTTGATTTTCGTCGCTGTTGTCGTCCATTCGTAAAGATCGCGTATTACATCGTTCGCGGGCAGTCGATCGTTCCGCTCGAAAGCTGGGCTGCGAGTAAGAGGAAAGGCATGGAAAAACAAACGGATAAAATACAAATAAAAGAAGAAGAGGAAGAAGGAGGGAAAGAAGAAAGTTGCCGCGCTTCGATTGCGTGTCATTTTTTTTTTCTTTTTTTTCTTTTTTTTCTTTTGTTTTTTTCGTCGAAAGGATATGTTTTGTACGCTACCGATGCCGCGTCTCGGCGCTGCGTGTCCTCGGAACACGAGAACACAACTTCGAACGAGGTATTCCCGAGTCCGAGTTAAGTACACGGGGTGACGAAGCTACGCGGGTATTTGTCGCTTCGTCGAGAAAAATATCGGGAATCAGCCGTAGTTGATCGTCGCGAGCTGTCCGCATTCGAAAAGCCGCGCGTGGCTCAACACCAGCTCTCGCTTTCCCGCTCTCCAACGCCGTCGCTCTCCTCGTCGCTCGGCTCCTCCCCGTACATGTCCGCCAATTTTCGGAACCTCGGGCCGAAGTTCGACAAGTAATTGAACTTCAGGTCTCCGTCGTCGGTACCTGCAAACAAGAAAAGTTCATTGTAGAAGTTTACCGATGCTCTTGTGTCCATGATTTGTCCAATTTGTACATAGTTATATTAATAACTAGAAATTAAATAGTTATATTAATAACTATAGAATATTAAATAGTTATATTAATAATTAAAAATTTATATATTAGTAATGTATGTATGCATTAATTGCTATATGTATATAATCAATTAATTATATTGTATTATTATACTAGAATATTAATTATATTATTTCATAAACAATATAATTAATATATACACATGTATATTATAATAGTATAATGTATGTATATATTATCAATAATGCACGAATGTATGCTGACACATATACATATATGCATATATGTATTGTGTTTATAAAAATATGAAATTGCAGAAGCATAGAATTATTAATATATATATATATATTAATAATATATTATTAAAAATATTATTATTATAAATATAAAATTATTAAAATATTAATAATAAATATGTTAATCAATATATTAATTATATATATAAATTCTAAACTTCTGCAATTTCACATTTTTATAAACACAATACATATATGTATATATGCGTCAGCATACATTCGTGCATTATTGATAATATATACATACATTATACTATTATAATATACATGTGTATATATTAATTAATTATATTGTTTATGAAATAATATAATTAATATTATAGTATAATAATACAATATAATTAATTGATTATATACATATAGCAATTAATGCATACATACATTACTAATATATAATTTTTAGTTATTAATATAACTATTTAATAGTTATTAATATAACTAATAATATAATTAATTAAAAGTTATTAATATACAGGAATGACAAAAAAGAAACGCGTGAAATAAGAAACAATCGCGTCTAACAAAAGACCGTGACTAGTAAATGCAATGTGGAACGAAACTACTCGCGTGATGCAGATGTAGGCGATAATGCGAGGTCGTGAAATCGATTGAATTGAAGTTTACAACCGCGGCAAACAATTTAAAACGTACCCGAGAATTGCAAGAATCTAGATTGCAGGCCCGATAGACATTAGGCCAATTGGCACGCGGCGGAAATAAATTCTGAACGGTTAGAAAAAGTTGCGCGGTGCCACGTACTCTAAACGATTTGAACAATGAGGCCTTGTGTAGCACGCCCTCTGCGAGAGGAGTGCACTCGAGGCACAATGGGAAAGAGGGTCGCGATTTCGTTTCGAAAGGTCCGTGAAACCGAAGAGAAAAAGAAAATATCAAATGTCAGGTCATAAATAGAGTCCAGTCTTAGAAGAGGTTCACTACTTTTTAGCAATCTTTAAAGCAGAAAAAAAAAAATCCCCTACTTTTCAACCAGTCCGTCGAAAAAGTTCAAGAAAAGATTAACATAATCTTCTCAGCGCACACCACGCGCGAAGTAGTTATTACTCATTCCGAATTTACGTTCTGGAGTTACGTAGTTCCGATTTTACGACTCGTCGTTAAATTGCTAACGATGATAGATCGGTGACTCTGCTTAACGTTTTGCTTTACGACCTCGCTGTATCGTTGCTATACGGCAGCGACTTCAATTATTGGCCACCAGTCCATAACAATTTACGATTCTCGCTGCGCGTTCGTAAAGGTAGTTTTCTATTTCGTAATATCTCTGAAGATCGTTGTAAATCCGACTATTTCTCTTGAAGAATTGTAAAATGAATCTGTCCATTTTTCTTTAAGAATTTCGATCGCGCGGTTTCATTTATTTCCATCGATCTCTCGCTGGTGTACATTTGATTCGTGTATACGTACATGAAGCCAACGACGATAAAGAACCTTCGGAATTGCCTTCTCCTTCGTACGCGTAGTGCCTGACATCGTCGAATGGGTTTGTGTCGGGATCCTTGTCGCAGCTCTCCTTCTTGCCGTCCAGGAAGCCGCAAATGTCCGGCACTTCGTCAGGGCCTGAGAAGCGAAAAGGAAAAGCAGACAGATGTATATTATTTATTTTACGCAGCATGCACTTATTTACTATAGCCCCTCACTATTATATTTCTCTTAGTTTGCCTACCAAGGCAAACCTATTTACCACCCTGTTTACTCAACCCTCTAACTACAGTCTATTTACTTTCTCTTACCTCTGGTTTGCAAGCCAACTGGCGCTATTTTCGAATCGATGGGCGGTGCATCGTAAATCGTTCGAAGAACGTTCAAGTCAAAGCCCGTGTCGACCTCGCCGCCACCCTCGTCCTCGTAGTTAATAATGTTCTCTCTTATGTCGTCCATATCCTTGAAGAGGTCGTCGGTCTTTCTTCTGTGCACCACCACCGCGAACAACAGTATCAACAGAATCGCGATGCAGACCAAGATCGCGACGAGGAAGTTGGTGTCGATTCCGAAAGACACGGCTTTCGCCATTCCGTGATCGCAACCGGGATCCGCGTTTCTGGATAACGATGGCATGCCTAAATTGTACGTCTGAAACATGAAATAAAATATCAGTATCAAAAAAATCACTATTAGATCAAGAACTGTTAAATTAATTGAAAACTATTAAATCAGAAAGACTAAATCTGTAGAATTTAATATGATTCAAATATTCAAACGTCAATTAAATTATCAGATTTCTCTCTCTTTTTTTTTTTTTTTTTTTTTTTATACCATAAATCGTCGTCTAAAATCACCAAGATTAAATCAGAATAATCAGTAATAGAAAACTACTAGATTAAAAACTATTGGAGGACTTGAATCTCTAGAATTTAATATGAAATTCAAATATTAATTGAATTATTAAATTTCCTGGTTTTTTTTATCGTCAAGATTAAATCAGAAAAATTACTAAGAGAATTTCAATTCGTGAAAGACACATTACTGCCTACAATTAGAATGCTTCCTCCTTAATGTGCTGTTTCTCATAATTATGAATGGTGAGTGTGTTAAAAGGGAAAAAAGTACAAGAGAGAGAGAGAGAGAGAGAGAGAGAGAGAGAGAGAGGGAGGGAGAGAGAGAGGGAGGAAAAGCAAAGAAAATCGTCGAAGCGTTTACATTTCCATTGAAGGTCATGTTGCGTATGCATCCGACGAATCCTCTCTCAGTAGGTATAAAATCCCATCCTAATTCCGAAGCTAGCTGCGCGAGATTAGTCAGAGTTCCACCAATCTGCATGGGGCTGTTCACGTTTAAAAATCCATTTGGTGCCTGGGGCGCGGTTAGGCTCATGCACGCGGAGATTCCGCAATTGTCCACTTTCATTTCGATCGCCTGCAACGCATCAAAGTATGCAGTTTCACTCGTTGAAGAGTAAGAGTTACAGCATAATTCAGAGTACAAAAGTATTTAAAAAGAAAAGATTTGAGAAAAAGTTGCACCAATGATAACCAATTGTCGCTTACGTTCTTCGTAAAATAAACGTCTATCCTGTGACTTTTTCCATCAGTGAGCTTAATGTGCGGTTGATCGAGCCTCACAGTACCGGACCCGTAGTCCATGTAAAGAACGGCATATCCCTGTTGAAGCTCCAGCGCCATGAAATCTTGGATCTTGATCTTCGAGCTGTAAGTCATCGGGCCGAAGTAAAACACCAGTCCGTTGTCTATGTGAGGCGTTATCTCGAGACCTGAGAATGCAAACGGGTCGTTCAAATTTCAATAAATTGAAGATGCATAGAAGCAAGCGGTTTTTGCATGTTCTGAAATTTGAAATTTAAAGCAGGACAGAGCAGATAGAAGAATGAGCGATCCAAAGATTAACATGTCAAAGTAAATAGCATACAGAGAAGAATAAGCAGAAAGAAAGGGGGAAGAGAAACGCGTGTACCAACCTAAATGAGAATCGTCGCATGCCTGGCCAGGCGGAGGCATTATAGCCCAGCCATCGCCGTGGAAACCGATTCCAAGAAGCTCGCACCTCGGTCCCTCGAGGTCCGGAGGACACTCGCAACGATCGGCCAACGGTGTGCCGCCGTTCAGACAAACGATCGGTTCGGCAACGTGACAAGTGCACTGCGGATCCACGACGGCTCGCACACCGACGAACGTGCTCGTGTTCGTGTAAACGGGATAGGGGACCGTGCTCGCGTTCAAATAATTGCGACAAGTATTGTTGCAGTGCTGTTTCTCGATGAGGCACTCGTCGATGTTCACAAGCAGGATGTCGGTTCTCAGCTCTCGTTCGATCTCCTTCGTGTGCTGGGCCAGTATCGTGTTCAGCTTCTCCGGGGCGTAGTAAGGGCTGCCGTGCGCCGAGAATCGCACGTCCAACAGACTGTTGTTGTTGTGATGCGGCGAATGAAGCACCGTGAACACGTCCACGTTCTCCACCGAGGTATTCAGCATATTCGCTACTCGCTCTTGGAATATCTCCTTCTTCGAGACGCCGGTGGTCTCGTCGGGCGCGACGAATTCCGTCGCTGTCATCCCGAAGAAACGCACGGAGCCGGACCTGGCGACCGCCTCCTCCGGCAGCTCCTTCACCGTCACGTTCACGTACGCGTTCACCTGGTGCCGCGGTATCTGAGCGCTGTACTCGGTCACTATGAACTTGAGGACGAATGTGTCGTTGGAGATCCCCGGGAGCAACGTGATCATGCCTGTCTCCTGATTCAAAAGGAATCCCTCGTGCGTCGACGCCCAGGCGAAATGCTTGTCTGGCAGGTCCCAATCGTCGGCGTCGTTCACGTACACCCTGCCGATATCCGTTTTCGGCGCCTCGCCTTTGTAATTGTAGACGAATATAGAACTCGAGCCCTCTGACATAGGGTTATCGTTCTCGTCGCCGATGATCACAGTCAGCGTCGACGTGCCCGTCATTGGCGGTTTCCCGCTGTCTGTGATAGCGATCGGTATGTCGTAGCTCTTTCGCTCCTCGCGATTGAATTCCACACGGGCGAACAGATCGGCGTCGCGTATCGCGAATTTCGCCAGGATCTCGTCGTCCGCGGTGTTCTCGTCTATCTCGAATTGGAAGGGCGGCCCGTTCTCCTCCGAGTCCCAGTCGCGTGCTTTCAGCTCTGTGATCTTACCGGGCGACTGGTTCTCACCCCACACCACCGGGTACGGCATGTCCAAGAACGGCGCGTTGTCGTTTATATCGATCAGCGTGATATTCACCATCACCAGCTCCCGTAACGCGGTCGGCGATCCGTCCTCGTCTCGCGCCATCACGATCACCTGGAACAAACGCAGCGAGTCGATCAGTCGATTTGGAACCCGTACACCTGCAATCGACTTCGTCATTCTTCTCGTGATCATTAACTTGATTATCGCGAGCACGTGTCTCACAAGATCTCGTTGAAATTCACCGAATTACTTCAAATTAAACGATTTAATTAACCTCTTGCGCTGGATTTTTTTTTTTTGTGTCCCAAATTGCAACACTTTCTCGACAAATGATAAGTTTGTTACTTCTTAATTATTTCTATCCAGTGATATCATACCGACGAGTTGGAAAGAAAAAGAAAGCGACAAATTATCGTATACGGTTCGGCCACTCGTTATGGTCCGCGAACCAGTTGCCAGCGCAAGGGGTTAATACTAACCGTACCAGTATACTCTATGTATACCTATTCTTACTGTAATTAATCTTTTTACGAAAGATAATTATCAATTTAACGCACAAAAAGAAAAAAATTAGATTTCCTTTTTTTTCTTAGCAAGAGTTAAACGAGTTTTAAATTAAATTTTTGAACCCAAAATTTTAATTTAAATTAAATTTCACCGGAGGATCGCTTGATACGTCTAGCGTTAATGAAAAAGAAGGACTTGGTTCATTGAAATTAAACAACGATTTCAAATAAATATCAAATTTCGAATAAATATTCATGGCGAGAGGTCCAACGGAGTCTTAGAATAATTTGACTAATCTGAACGAGCCTTAATCAAGCCGTATATCTTGAACATAACGATTATTAACGATCTGGTCATCGATTGGCGACTAGTCAATAACGGTAGTTGGGTAATACCATTAAAGGAGGTGGCTAGAGGGAAATTTACCGTCCACATGGAGTATCCTAAGGGACCGTCGCGGTCGAGAGGTTTCTTCAAGGTCATGCAACCGGATTTGTCGATACCGATCAGAGGTTGTTGGTCCTCCTTTACGATAAAGTAGGCGATATGCTGATCTGCGCTCCTGTCTTTGATGTCGGGGTCGTAGGCGACAACGGTGGTGATGCAACCTGTAACAACGCGTTGAACAACGTTTATTACGTGACAGTTTATTAATTTCCAATCGAGATGCAACGTAGTCGTGAATTAAATCACGAGAAATTGGCGTCGATCGAAGTTATTCCACCTGCATAGTTGAAAATTTTACATAATATGTCTTGGCGACATGTTATTCAAAAATATTTCTATTCGTCCGAAAGTGAACTGGCCATTATGAATTTCTGTTCCAAGGTTCTAAATTAAATTCCAACGATGTTTGTCCGTCGATGAATTCTCGACAAAGCGGAATCTGTCTTAATTACTAATTTTAATTTTCAATTACCGCTTCTGATCACTGTTTCAATTACACTATACAGGAATACCTTCGACGTTGTTCATGAAAACGATGCTCTCTCGAGCATCAAAATTAAAGTTAATATCTGAGACTCCTAACTTCGCCAGTTATAGTTCTCGTTCGAACGCAACGAAATAAAATGTCTCTCGCCTCACCTTCCACCAGCTTCTCCTCCTCAATGGTAGGATTCTTATTAAAGTCCTCGAATACCGGCGGATTGTCGTTCACGTTCTCAATAAAAATCTTCACCTGAGCGGTGTCATTGTACACACCGTCGAATGCTCTTACTGTCAGATTGTACTCGGTGATCTTCTCGTAATCCAGAGGCTTCTTCACGCGGATCTTGCCGGTGGTGTCCTCGATATAGAAGCTGTCGTCGGTGTTGCCGAATATGATGCTGTACGTAACCGGGCTGGCAGTGTCGGAGTCGAGGGCCTTCACTTCGGTGACCGGCGCGTTGATATTGGCGTTCTCGAGGATCGAGTTCGCCGTGTAGACGGCCTGCGTGAAATGGGGGGCATTGTCGTTTTTATCCGCGATTTCGATGCGGAACACCTGCTGCCCCTTGTTGTGCTCGCCCGTTTTGAACAACGCGCTCGGGGAATTGTCGACGGCGATCACCTTCACGTTGTACGTGTCTTCCACCTCTCTGTCGAACGTGGTCAGTGTTGTGATGTTGCCGGTGTACTTATCAATGGCGAAAAGATCGCGGAAGTTGTCCAATTCGTACGTGACCTGGGAGGAAGCATAAACGATAAAGTGAGACGACCGAGAGAGAATGCGCGAGCAGTTCCCTGCCCGCGTTCCATCGTAATTGCATTTATGGTTCTCTCGTTTCGCTTGAATGTCATAAAATTAATCGATTATCTTAGAAATGTAATCTTTAATATATTAATGAATATTAATTAATAAAGTGTGATCTTAATGTATTAAAAATACTATAAAATCAATTTGACTCGTTGAAACTTTCTTCTTGGTTTCATATATTAATATATATTATTCATATTTCATATATTAATGTATTAATGAATACAAACTAATAAAATGTAATCTTAATGTATTAAAAATACTATAAAATCAATTTGACTCGTTGAAACTTTCTTGGTTTCATGTATTAATATATATTATTCATATTTCATATATTAATGTATTAATGAATACAAACTAATAAAATGTAATCTTAATGTATTAAAAATACTATAAAATCAATTTGACTCGTTGAAACTTTCTTGGTTTCATATATTAATATATATTATTCATATTTCATATATTAATATATTAATGAATATTAATTAATAAAGTGTGATCTTAATGTATTAAAAATACTATAAAATAAATTTGACTCGTTGAAACTTTCTTGGTTTCATATATTAATATATATATTTCATATTTCATATATTAATGTATTAATGAATACAAATTAATAAAATGTAATCTTAATGTATTAAAAATACTATAAAATCAATTTGACTCGTTGAACTTTCTTGGTTTCATGTATTAATATATATTATTCATATTTCATATATTAATGTATTAATGAATATAAATTAATAAAATGTAATTTTAATGTATTAAAAATACTGTAAAATCAATTTGACTCGTTGAACTTTCTTGATTCTATGTAACCAACTCAGCAAAATTACCCTTTCGATGATCATTGTTGAAAACTGAGACACACTATTAATAATCACTTTCGCTAATTCATAAAAGTGCAATCACGAGAGAACAGAAGTGACTATTTTTATAGTAAACGATATTTACATTATGATTAAATTGTGACAGTAAGCGATATTAATCTGTAATCTAAATAAGTAATATAATTATAAAGAATTACAAGCAATATAATTATAAAGAATTATAAGTAATACAATTATAAAGAATAAGTAGATAATTATACAAAATTATTTAAGATTATATGTTATTATATTTATAATATAATTAATAACATGTAACATGAAACTTCGTTCAACGAGCCATTATAACTTACAAATGTACGAAGGGTTAGATGACTTTTTAATGTAACAAAGATATAAATTTCACCTGTTTCACAATTATGCGGTATATGTAGTTTCACGCGACAAAGGGGTGAGAAACGAGGCGTACCTGATTGTGAGCGGAAGTCCCATCAGCGTCGATCGCACGCACTTGCATTACCGGAACTCCCGGCGGCTCGTTCTCGAGCACGCTTCCCTTCTTCATCTCGCGAAAAACTGGGATGTTGTCGTTGACGTCCAACACCTCGATGTCGATCACAGTCTCGGCAGCCAGCTGATACTTGTTCTGCACGCGCACGATCAATGTGTAGATGGTGTTGCTCTCGTAGTCAAGATGCTGGGAGAGCTTGATGTCGGCAACATCCTTGTTCGATTCCAATCTGCGCAAAACCGTGGGAATAATTCATTCACCTCGTGTACGACGTTAATTAGAATCGTGAAATCGAGACGTACGATTGTTGCTGCCAAAAAATAATTGAATTAGTTTTTAACGCTGGAACTGCGAGAATGGTCGAAACCATTTAGAAATTTTTAATTTTCAATGATCAATTTCATTTTCATTTCTCTGCCATAAATTTTGCACTTCGATCGTCGGTTAAAACCAGACGTCACTATTTTCGAAAGTCACGGTTTCGTCAAATTAGTATGACTGAATGAATCTTTATTTCAGCCTTTCGGCCTAGAAATAGACTTCGGTGCCTTACATTATTCTTTACATTTTGTTTTCCGTCTTAATTCCCTTGGTTGTCAAGTTTCCTCTTATTACTTCTCCTTTACTTTTCCTCTGGTATTGCATGCTTTAACCTAACTTTATACTATACATAGATTAATTAGATTAATAGAGAACGATATTTCTCACACTGCCTCTACACTTAATATATTTCTCTTTGGTACTATACTTTCTTTACTTACATCAAATTAATATAATAAAATTGAAGAAGAAATGAAACGCGCAAACTTGACTGCGGATACACTGGACGTAAAAAGTAAACGTTTAATGTTGAATATTTTGTACTTGGATAATTTCCCCCAATTGAAGCAATTTCGAACTATCAATTTCGTACGAACGAGAGTTGATTAATTCAAAAGAATTGGTAAGATAGGAGTAACAATCTCGCGTCGCGAAAATAACCATCGAAGTTGATTAATTCAAAAGAATTGGTAAGATAGGAGTAACAATCTCGCGTCGCGAAAATAACCGAGTGGGGAAATTCGATTTACCTAAATGTGTTTCCCTTGTTGGTCTGCTCTGTTCTACCAGGAACCAGCTCGAACAGGAGACCAGTGTTGTCTCCGCTGTTCGAGACGGCCCTCAGTCGAACGATACTCGCGTCAAAGTCGCTGAAGTTTTCCTGCAATCGGATCGGCTCGGCGGGTCTCGGTAGGAAAGCTGGCGCCTTCTTGTGAGACTCCACCACTCGAATATCAAGATCGATCACGTTCGATTTTGGAATCTCGCCCTGATCCTCCGCAGTCGCTGTCATGCTGAACTTGTAGTCTGGATTTCTCTGCAAATATTCGACAAACGTTTCATTTATATTTTACTTATATTCGACAAACGTTTTATTTTTATTTTATTTTATTTCATTTCACCTATTTGACAATTAAACTTTCACAGTCCGAGTGAGTATGGCGCAACGTGGATAAATTTAGAGATTTAAATTTACTCAACTCCTTATTTTATAACATCGTGTCACGATCGGTAATTTCCATTTAGAAAAAAAAGCGTAAAATTTAAATTTAATTTTTTTAAATCGAACGTCAATAAGTGTAAGTTGTTAAATAACGTTTTGTGTTTGAAATAATATTACAATTATGACAAGTAATGCTTGTCTAAGAATATTGAAAAGAAAAATGTAAAACGAACGGTCGAAGAAATTTTATATTCTGAAGACACGTAAACTCCTCATTTGAACACTTTTGAAAATGAAAATTTGTACATGATATTTCAAGTATTAAAGCTACAAACTTGATTTAGCTGTATATATCAGACAGTCGGATGAAAATTCCTGAAATTATTTAAAACTCTTAAATGTTAAAATTACTTAAAATTACTTAATACTCACGATATTATATCACTGTACGATATTTCAAGAATATTAAATTCTTCAAACTTGTTAATCTGTATATTTAACAATCGGATGCAAAATTCTCTTAAAACTCCAAAAATTCTTTAAAATTCTCAAAATTTCGAAAGATTACCCCAAATTTTCAACGATATTTTAAGTCCTCGGGCTTCTCAAAATCACTCAAAACTCACGATATATTATATCACTATACGATATTTCCAGAGTATCAAAGCTTTAGCTGCATTTTTAACATTTTAAAATCATTCGAAAATCCTCGAATTTCGAAGAATCCTCAATATCAAATGCTTCTCGAAAAACTTTTAAACATCGTTCGACACGGAAAATTCTTAATTCTTAAATATTACTCAGAATTACTGGGAACCACTCGAAAACCCTTCAATTTGTAATTCGATTTCAAACGCGGGTAAATATGAACGATTAATTAATCGAGTCGAGAAACAGTTTAATCGTGGCCACGTGCGCCGTGATATGTACTTACGTCGATGGTTTTGTTGAGGAATATCACGCCGGTGTTGCGATCTATTCGAAAGTACACTCCATCTTCGGGCCTCCTCGGCGACAGGCTGTAGTAGACGACGGAGTTGTTGCCGTCGTCGATGTCCGTGGCCGACACTCTCATCACCTCCCGTCCCAGGGGCAAATCTTGCGGCACCGACTCGGTGTACGCCTACGCGAGCGAGCACCATCGCCAAAAAAGCAAACAACTTTACTCGTACAACGTTCGTTCATCGTCGTTTCGTGTCTAAACGTTCTATTCTCGAAAACCTTGCTTTCGTTGTCCACCCTTCGTTTCTTTTTTCCTCCTCTAACACAAATCTACGTAGTGCATGCATGCGTTCAGAATGACATAAACTAAACAACGGCGAATGAAACAAGCGGCGATACGAGCGGCAAACGGAACTCTATAAGCGTCAAATGCACGCGTGCGTGTGCTGCCTCGCGATCCTTTGGGTTAGGTATGCGGGTTTAATAAAATTGTCCCACATTTTTTTTTTTTTTTTTTTTTTTTTTTTTTTTTTTTTTTTGACAGTTAACGCATGGTGGGATATTTTTCAACCCACCTAAAGATGTGTTTCAATAAATTTAATTAGTCAGTTCTTCCTGCACTGTAACAAAGAATTTATTGAAACACTACTTGTTTTTTATCTCAAGAAATATTTCATAAATGTTTAATAATTGAAACAAACGTTTTCTCGTATTGAAGAAAATTCTGTGCAGATAGAATTTTTTTTTTTTTCCTTTAAAATTGCGTGTTTCTAAGGGTTAAATATTCGTTCGTTTAACTACTTGCGCTGGCAACCGACTGCGGACCATAACGAGTGACCGAATACAACAATTCGTCGCTTTCTTGTGAATCACTTATGTATGATATCACGTTTTTTTTATTTTAACATACTTAAACATTTTGTTTTTACTTAAAACTGAGAAAATATTACAATTTTGAAACGAAAAATTGTCGATGTATGTGGCACGTCGTTCCAGCGCAAGAGGTTAATACCGAAAGCCATAATGCTGTATTATAGATATTATAAGCTCAGATGACTGTTACAACCAGTCATCATCATCAAATATTAGAATAAAAAAAAAAAAAAAAAAGAAAAGAAAAAGTCATAGGACATTTGCATTGTACTTTTTGATTAAAATGTTTTTGATTGCAGATAACGATTGTGAAATAGCAGTTTTTTCGTTGCCATTAACTCTCTTTTGATCGCTCTGCTTTATTTTATCGACAAGGAAAATTTGTTTCGATCGCTCGTAAATAACTATCGATAGATCGTCGGATAATTTTCATAAGTGTTTGAAATAGTTCAAAGGCAGTTGTGGGGGATTGTTTTAGTCGAATACAAAACAACAATGTACACTATTACGAGTGACTGAAACATAATTTTCCATCATCCTCAATGAAAATTATTATGACCAGAAATAAATTTCACACGCCAGCAGCTGGAATTAATTCCAATTAGAATCATAATAAATAGGATTTCGGCAACGAAAAATATTTTCGGTCACCTGTGACTTGCAATCAAAATATTTAATTTTTGAATCGTGTTAGTACGTTGAAAAATCATCCTTCAAGAGTAATATCGCGTCCACTTGAACGACAGACTTGAGCTTCGATCGTTGTTATCGATTCTTTTCATAAAAATTTCTAGAACAACTATCAATTTTGTCATTATCTATCAAAGAAGAAGGTTATGCACAGAGAAAGTGCAAACGCGATTTTAAAGCGAAGTGAAACTTTCTTTCGCCACTAACGAATGCACCAATTATCGCATCAGTGTTACATTTTAAAGCGTAAAAATTTCAGAACGCGCACACGCGTGAAATATAATACGCAGAAATAATTATGTACACCGAGGTCCTGTTCATTCAATTACGTTTTTTTCGGATAAAAATCACTGGTCCTCCACTTGCATGGGTGTTCGTGCATTCTTTTAAACTTTTACAAAACTGCTAAACGCCGTGAAATAAATTCGTGCATATTACGTGGATCGCGTGGATTTTCTGCACCTCCGAAATTTATAAAATTTGCCTAGCAGAAATTACTGGCTCCGCGTAATTATACGCGAAATAGGCTACGACCCGGCAATAAAATATAATATCTTTTACAACAGCTGCGGGAAATGTCCACTTTTAGCACCGATACAGCTGTGAGCTGTTTTCATCATGTTAGACGATACTTAGGCGCAGAAATGTACTATCACTGACGGAGGCAATCTCTCTCTTATAATACTCGTACAGTCAGCCGATAATTGGATCGTGCCGTATTAATTGAACACATTTTCTTCCGCCGTGTAATTTTCATAATTGCCAGTTTAGTAGAATAAGCGATTCTAATCCAGTGACCGCGAATAGTGTATCTTATCTAAACTTTCATTCGTACCAAAGAGAAAACGAGATTTCACGGATAATAAAGTAATTGGCAGCTATTATACATTACGGAGACATAATGAGATCGACTTGTCTTGTAATGAATTATTTATCGAATAAAAATTAATAATGGATTGTATAAAAATCTTTCTCGGCAAAAAGCTCCACGAGCTGACAATTTAATTAAATATACGTATTCAGCATATACTTATATCGGATATACTTGTTTAATATATTTTTGAAACATATTGGAAACAAAAATTCGAGACAAATATATTTTTTGGGAAAGATTTGGCAAATATCAAAAAAAGAAAAAAAAAATAAAGAAACTGATAAAATAGTGCACGCTTCTTTTTAAAAAAACTAAAAGCTTTCATCAGCTTTATCAAGATGAACAAATAGTACATTTTTGGAGTAATCGCAAATTTATTTATTTACGGCCAAAAAATTATCGTTTAGTCGTTAGTTGCTAAACTATTTAAATTTATTTTAAACATAAGAATTTCAGCATTGATCAATATGAAGCTAATCACTTTAACTTGCGTATATCGAATACAGGAAAGTAAAAATGTGTGTATATATATATATATTTTTTTTTTCCTATTGCACTGTTACAAACTTACACTTGACGCGCACGCACGTTAAACGCGAGCATCTAACGCTTACGAGAGATTCCACATTCAAGATCGTTTGAGATCTACGAACCGTACCGTTCGATCGCGCAAGCGTAATTAATCCACTGCGTAACAAAAACAGAACAGTATTCGCATTCGCATTCCCACAAAGAAAACAAAAATCAAAAACAAAAAGACAGTGACAGTGACAGAGACAGAGAGAGAAAGAGAGAGGAAACAAGAAGAAAATAAAAAAAACATCGAAATACATGTATACACCGGCAAAATTCGAGACCAACCTTCCATACGTATCCACGAAAGACCTGGGTTTGAGAAAAAAAAAAAAGAAAAAAAAAGGAGAAAGAAAAGAATCGAAGCAAGAGGTGTGATTAGTGTAGCACAGTCGTATCGTATACGTAAAATCGTAAAAGAGAGTGTTTCGCCGCCGCGTTCGATTTCTGGATGATCACCGCGTTACGAGGGAACTCGATCGGTCGGTAAAAAAATGCGTACAAAGATCGGAAGATCGACGGTGATATTTCCGGAAACTGTATGCGATATGACGAGGATGAACGGGACGAACGCGATGGTAGATCATATTTGAAGGTATCATCCCCGTTCCCAAGTATCGGGAACGCTTGCTACCGCAGAAAAATCAAGTAATTGAAAAACTAGAACGACTCATTCGCTTATTAGATCGATCAATTTCTGACATACGTAACGAATTGAAATGAAATTATTTCCTCTTTAATCAAAATTGTTTTCTTTCAAACGTGAGAACTTCAAAGCGAGATCAATCGATGTCAGATTCGAAAAGAGCTAATGAAGTATATAAAACAAATGTATCAAAATTTTGCGAAAGCTAAATACAATATGGACATATATATGTTACGAAACGAAATTTTGAAGAGCTTCCCACCACGAAACTAAATAGAAAAATAGTAGGATTGGTTGACAACACAGTGCTTTAGTATGCATTTTGAAACTCTAATCTTCTTCAGATACTAAGTCTCTTCTGTGATCTGTTGTATCTTTCATATATGTATAGTGCATATATTATATATTATAAATTATATAATATATATATTATAAATTATATTATATATTATATATATAAATATATTATAATATATAATTATTATATTATATATTATAATATAATCTATAATTATAATATATTGTAATATTAATATAATTACATTATAATATATTATAATATATAATTATGTATTATAATATATAAATTTATTATATATTATATATTATAAATTGTATTATATATTATATATTATAAAAGATTTGGCATTCTTTCAACCCCTTGCGCTGGCAACTGATTCGCGGACCATAACGAGTGACCGAGCCGTGTACAATAATTCGTCGCTTTCTTTTTCTTTTGAACTCGTCCGTACGATATCACTGGATGGAAACCATTAAGAAAATAATCCACTTATCGTTTGCTTTGCCCGGATTACATTCGAATATACATAAAACTGTGAAAATGTCGCAATTTGGGACAACAAAAATTCTCGACGGCGCGTGGGCGCAAGAGGTTACAACCGAATCAACCACCAACGATTGCAAACATCAATTTATCAATCTCCCTTTGATTCTGACGAATTTTGAAAAATCTCGCCTTGTCGTCGTCTCGCGTACGATTACGAGTTGCAGATCGATCGATCGATCGTGTGATTGCTGCTAACGATCTGAACTAATAATCAGGCCAGCAAACGTCCGAATACTTCTACGAACGAGGGTGCGTGTAGGCGCATAGACGAATCGAGCGACCCACGCTGTGTTTTATGGTTGCGAGACAGTCTCACACGGCACGTACCACTTTGTCGAAAACCGGTGCATTGTCGTTCACGTCTTCGATGGTGACTTTGAACGTGCACACGTCGTCGAGCTGCGGCCTCCCGTTGTCGGTCGCCAACACGGTCAGGTAGGCCTCTTTCTCACGAGCTGGCTCATCCCTGTCCAACACCTGCGTCGTCCTGATCAGCCCGGTCCTGTTGTTGATCTCGAATTTTAGTTTCTCGCCGGGGGCTGTGACGAAACTGTACGTGATCGTGCCTGCGCAAACGTGAACCGCGTTACGCGTAATTTGAATTTTTCCATTATTTCCTTTTCCTTGAACCCTGATTGTATCGCAATGCGAGGAATTCTACGTGAAAAAAAATTCCTGGCTAAGTAGAGATTTTTCACTCCGCACTCGTGAAAGGTTAGTCGAGAGAATTCTAAGCTCCGAATGAGATGAAACTCGAGAACGACAACATATATGAAATAAATGTAAATTTATCGTTCCAAAGAATTCAGTAAATTGGAAGAACAGGAACGCAGAACGTTAATATTGTTTAATTTCACAAATTATTGATTACAAGAAAAAATGAAGCTTGCTACCACGCGATCGTCAATTAATCAAGAAAGTTTAAGAATATCGTTGATTCCATATGTAACAGAATTCAAGAATATACGTGAAGTAAAAGATTCAAGCACTGGAAATTATAATTAAATTGTAATTAAAAGTATCTCTTTCATTTATTTATACGAAAAGTATTTTTTTGTGCTTAACTTTTTACACGATAAATGATAATTTAATTAAATTAAACGAACGTTCACTTTATTCTAATAAGACGATACGATATTATACATAAGTATTTAAATCTCTAAAGGCAAAGGAGTATTGATAGTTTCGCAGAGAGGTACCAAAATAAATCCGCAAATAAATTAAATTGTTTAAAATAATAAAATTAATTTTTTCTTAATCAATAAAATTAGTTCTTTCCTTGATGTTTCATTAAAAAAAAAAATTTAGGTGGTAAAAAAAATTTTTGGCTCACCCTGTATTTATAACTGTGATTCATCTTACCTCATTGTACCTCAAAAGGCACATACATTTTTTTTTTTTTTAAATAAAGAGCTACATTATTTGAATTGAATTTGAGTTATATACTTTTACCAGGGAAAATCAGAGAAATATTTTCGTAAGTCAGTGCAGTTAGAGTTACTGATCGATGAAAACAATTCGCAGAAAGTATCTCGATAACGTACCTCCATCGTCAGGATGGTCCCTGTCCTCGGCATGCACTTTAATCACCACTGTACCCACTGGCTCCTCCTCTTTCACTATCGGCGCGTAATTCGAGCAGTTCGAAAACACCGGTTTGTGATTGTGATTTTCATCCAGTTGCATCTGTGGGAACCAGTGCGATTTCGATCGCTGTTTAACAATGTCGCACGAAACAAGGAAAAATCGCGGAGATTATTTCTCAACCCTTTAAATCGGGTATAACGAGTTAACTCGTCGTCAAAAAGATGCTTCTCATCATGGAATTTTGAAAGTGACGCACGTAGATTTCTTTTTCTTTTTTTTTTTCGATATCTTTCAACTGAGCACTATTGGTTAAGTTAAGCTCCGCAATTAAAGGATTGAAAAAGAACTTGCAAACGAAATTATTTAGCATCTTTAATCATAAATCGAAGCGAATATTTTCGAAGAAGCTCAACTATCGGAATGAAACATCCATCTCGTACCGTGTAAACTCGACGGGAGAGAAAAAAATCCCGTTAGAGTATTTCTGACGAAAAAAAAAAAAGAAAAGAAAAAGAAAAAAAATCACACACGAGGGCTATTTTTTGTTCAAAACTCTCGATCGACACACAAGAGCGAGGGTTCTTGATTCCTACAATCGAACTTTTCCAACGAACCTTTCAATTAATTATCGAACGTTCTACAAATATTTCCACGTGTCGAAAGTTCGGCCGGAGGTCGAGCTCGAGCACCACAATGGAATAATAGAACGAAGAGAATGAGAGAGAGAGAGAGAGAGTGATCGAGAAAGCACTTACCGAAAATTCTTCGTCGTTGGAGAACTGCGATCTCGCGTCCAAATGCCTCGAGTGCCTCAACCTCGTCCCGTCGGCTGAAAACACGCAAACGAGAAAATGAAACATCCATCGGTACGTATGTATATCGCAGGCTCGCGATCGTATATTTTGTTCCTTTTCCACCACGGTGTGTTTCCGTTTCCTCCGCGCCGCTGTGTACGCCACGTACGTTACGCGCGAACATGGCCCCGTAAAAGCTTTCGATTTTACGCGGTAACACGCGGCCATTCCGGCCAAGAGCTACGCCGAAGAGAGAGAGAGAGAGAGAGAGAGAGAGAACGATAAATAATTGAGGGGAAACGGTGCGGAAGTCGAATCGACGTCGCGCTTTCCCTTCAAACCATCTAATAATTATTTCAGCTTCCGTTTCTCCTCTTACTTTTGTTCCTCACCTCTTCTTTTCATTTCATAGTCTTTTCACCTTTTTATTTCATCGGTCGCCTTCAGTCGTGCCGTTTCTAAACCTAACGACAGCTTGCGCTCGATTTATCACGCTGGACGAAAAGCAACTCTGTTCCTTTGCAAATGAGAGAACAAAAACTTTGACCATTGTGTTCTGTGGAGTTACTATCAGCGATACCTCGTAAGTGATGTTTCCTTTTTTTTTTTTTTTTTTTTTCAAATTTAACAAACATCGCCACCTAGTGACAATGATTTAACTTGTTTTTTTACAACAAAATTTTAACACAAAGAAAGGAAAAGAATTTAAAAACTTAACAACTTATTTCAATTATCGAACATAAAATATGTCTTAAAAAAAAGTAGTATTTAAATAAATTCTAGAGATTAGGGCATAAATAATCCGGAAAGAGTAATAAATAATTCAGGAATTGTAATAACACCTGTGCAGGTAAAATTTAACACACGTGGTTTAACTTCTTGCGCTGGAATGAAGTGCCGCGCACGTCGAGAATTTTTTGTTCCAAAATTGCAATATTTTCTCGGCTTTAAGTATATTTAAATGAAACGAAATAGGCGAAACAAATAATAAATTTGTTACTTCTCAATAATTTCTATCCAGTGATATATCGAAGAGTTCAACAAGAAAGCGACGAATTATTTTATACGGTTTGGTCACTCGTTATGGTCCGCAATCAGTTTGCCAGCGCAAGTGATCAAATATATATATATATATAAATGTCACTATGATATATATATAATATATATAATATATAAATGTCACTATGATATATATATATATATTACATATATATATTACATATATATTACATTTTTGTGAGATATTTGTACGGAGGCTGTTGGAGAATTTAAAACGTCAATTTAACGTCAATTCTTCGTATAATTTTTACAGAATCGTTCAATCATTACAAAATCATCAGGTGATGTTGATCCGCCCGGACATACATCATCCTATTTCGTTCAACTGATCAGTCCTTCAACTGATTGACGACGAGTCAGCCCGTCGTTGGAAAGTTGGAAAAGCTTGAAAGTTTCACGACGATGTAAATCGTCTAGCGGGGAAACATTTTCCAATAATGAGTTAACTCGTCATCCCCTTGAATTAACTTTCGAAGTCCTTCTGATCGGTTCGGGGAAACTTTTTTAATCTGACTTATATAACGCAGAAATTTCGAAAAAAAAGTGTCCGAAGATGAAAAAGTTTGTGTTGAATTAGGCTTGGCGATAATAATCGTCGGTTTTATCATTGCGCGTTTATCTACGTTGCACGGCTATTAAAGATCAATTTGATCCTATTATCGTTGCCTGACGTGTCGCCATGTCAAAAATAAGCAAGTGGCTCGTCGCGTGACTCTGTCGTTTCTGTGAAACTGCATTAAATATCTGGCGTCGTAACTATCGGGACGCCAGATATTTTCGAACGATTTACGATCGAAATCCTTTTTGGAATTGTTGCTGGGAAACACGAAAAATATCGTTGGTGAACGACGACTGCGTGGTAGATTCCGCGCGAATCCGATGGGGTTTTTCTCCTCCGGATTTCTCGTTTCGAGGAATTCGATTTTTCATCCACTTTCGAAACGTTCGCTGACAATCGTTCCCTCTCCTTTCCTGTTTACAAATATCAGGACGAAAACTGTAGATACAATTACTAGAATACTAATTTCATCAGATCGTTTTTATCATTGTTATTATATCTAGGCTTTGCAAATAATTTTAACAAATTCTCATTCCAGAATTTTTATTACTCGGCAGTTCTAATTGCACTATAAAATTCTTATTAATCGGTAGTTCTAGCTGCGTTTATAAAATTCTCATCCATTAAAAGTTTGGACTAGAATAAAAAATTCTAAACGAACGATGACCTCGTGCGGGGATCACATTCCGAGATAACGAGATTTGAAGTTGGATTTCTTCCATAAGAAGAGTACAAACCAGTCCTTCCTTTCCATTTTCATCGAATATTTGTAACCCACGTAGGCAGTAGTGTTAATTCAAATGTAACATGGCTGACTCTTATCCAAAGTCACTATTCAATTAATCACAGTAGTTCCACGATATATAATAAAATTCCTAATAATCCTAATATATCCTAATAATCCTAATATTGCTAAAAATTCCTATTACTAACTGCATTGTAAAATTCTTATTAATCAGTAGATCTAACTGCATTATAAAATTCTTCATCAATCAAGCAGTAACTGAATTGTAAAATTTTTATCAATCACAAGTTTTAACAATATAAAATTCTAATTCAGTTAGTCACTAGTTTCGATTGCAATGTAAAATTTTTACTAGTCAAATTCTTGTAAAATTCATACGAAACACAAGTTTTAACTACAATATAAAATTCTAATTTAGCTGGTCACTAGTTTCGATTGCAATGTAAAATTTTTACTAGTAAAATTCTTGTAAAATTCATACGAATCTTAAGTTTCAACTATCATATTAAATTCTAATTCAGTTAGTCACTAATTTCGATTGCAATGTAAAATTTTTACTAGTCAAATTCTTGTAAAATCCATACGAATCACAAGTTTTAACTACAACATAAAATTCTAATTTAGCTGGTCATTAGTTTCGATTGCAATGTAAAATTTTTACTAGTAAAGTTCTTGTAAAATTCTTACGAATCTCAATTTTCAACTGCCATATTAAATTCTAATTCAGTTAGTCGCCAGTTTCGATTGCAGCGTAAAATTTTTACTAGTCGATAGTACATGTGGCATCGATTCGTCGTTTCCTTCGACAACGTCGTAAACGATCGAACGACGAAAAGATGAAAAGCCGTGAGTCAGCCAACGACAACCACGGGTATAGGCTGTAGCGAAACTGTAAGCGGCACGCTAATCTCCCTCAGGGTGAGTAGCCTCCTTTTGCTACGCTGGGGTTAACCTAGATTTCGATCGAGTTTGCAGGCCCTAGCTGGTAGTAGCACGAGGCTTCGCCAGAACGGACACGCGTCCGCACTTTCTTCCTAGTTCGATGAATTCGTTCGAGACCCGATAACGGATGTGATCGATCGGAGTTTGAGAAAGGAAATCTCTGTTTTGCAACCGGTTCCGGCAACGATTAAACCCGGCGGGTTTGTTTCTTATTCACTGGTCGTTAGATCAGTTGCAGACGATACGACGAAATTCGCACGTTTTTTTCTTTCCAACGTTTTCAACGCGCTGATAACTATTGCGATTCATACAATGCGATAAACAGTCCCGTTTAACGTGTAAGATAAACTTTGACACATTTGTTCGACGGTGTTTGTTTAGAAACATTTTTCCATCTTGCAATTTATTTTCCATCGTCTTTTATACGAGCAACTATAATTGGACGTATTTTATTTTCACAAATGTTTTTTTTTTTTTTTTTTTTTTTTTTTTTTCATTATTTAAAGTCGCATCAATCGCTCGTGTGAAATTATTAGTGACTTAAAACTAAAGCCTGCAATTTATTATATAGGTGTCAGACTAGTTTAGAAGGATTTAAAAAATGATTCTTCATCTTTTAGATAATATTTAAAAAAAATTCTGAAATTTTAATAGAAAGAAACTAGTTACACTTAGAAGAACCTATATTATACGTAGAATATGTATAATATAGATATTTAAGAGAATCTGTATAATAAAAGTGCCATGGAAACAGGTTATTTTGAAAACATTTCATTAACAAATCCATTTTTTAAATATATCGAGTACCGTTCAGTGAACAGCATTCAGTGTCAACATTTGCCACAAATATCGAGAACCATTTTAATATCGCTGAACAAATTATCCCCGACAGAAAAATTTTTACAAGTTCTATATTCTGTCTGAAACTTTTATTTTTTTTTTAAGAACGAACGTTATTTTTAAGAAAGGTGAAAGTTCCTCAATTTTCGATTGAAACTGATACATTGTACAGGACATGTACAATAATCGAAATAACAATAACAAAAATGATTGTACAAAAATTACGGTGCATTGTCGTGCGTAGACCATTCCAAAACTGTGAATTTCATGCATTTTAAATTTTTACAAACATCACTAAACAGCACGTCGCCAAAAGGAATTTTAAATTTTATCTACTATATATTATAATTCTACTTTGGATATTTTATACGGGCATTTTTTATATGCATTTCCGTGCATACATTTTCGCCACTGCCAATTTCCCATAAATCCATAAAATTTGCATTCTAACAATAACGTAGCAATTTTTTACATATTCAACGAATCATCCAAAATCGCCGACTAGTCCAAATGTCGGAATGTCTCTGAGGAACATTTTTTTTTTTTTTTTCTTGTAACGTGAGATTAACTCTTTGCCCTCGGAAACATTTTTTGTATCATCTACCAGCAATTTATTTGTAGTATCGCTTCAAATAAAATGATATAGCACTGAGAATAATCATCCTTCAAGTGGTATTTAGCATGAAATTTTGTTGATTATATTTCTCCAGCATGCTTTTAAAGCAATCACCAAGTATAGTATATAGAAGTTAATGATACATAACTTCAATTTGTCTGAAAAATTTCCTTCACCGATTCACGACTTTTTTTACGAAATTTTATTATTCCTCTACATACGTTCGATTATAATGATCAGCAATTATAAAAGTTTTTTATAATTTTAGCTAAATTTAACTTCTTCACGTCCTTGGCCAAATACAGCTAATTTAAAAAAAA